CCGACCTAAATTCATTTTTGTCGCAGACCCTCTTATTCCGATTCCCCCATCCTTGCCCGACTGTGTCTCAAGAGCCGATCTCTACCTATGGCGCACGGCTCGCGACATCTCGAGTATACCTCGGTAGGGCATCCCAAATTATAGCCAGTCGCAAATTTTGATCGAGTAGTATGACTGACCGACTGAGCAACGACCGGGACGACTGTTCACATTGTGACCACAACAACGAACGATGAAAGGCGAATTTCTCCCCCACAATTTCTCTAACACCCTTTCTCTTCCACAGCTAAGATTTCGCGGTAGGTTACCGATCGATGGGTGTAACGTTGTTGTACGTACGTATTCGAATATTGTTACGGTTGTTTCCCGAGCAACTGTTCGTGTTCCATTTTTCGTTTCCATCCGCCGTCGGGTCGTGATCTGTCAACGCAGTAAACTTAGCCAGCAGCTCAAATTAAACCCGCTAAAAAACAATTCAGCTGCAGACAGGCAACGCCGACGGTACTCCTCGGGTTGATTTATCACAATCACAACATGTAAGTGTAATTTTATGCGATAGATATACTTCGGTACTGCAGCTGCTTGACTGACTGACTGAGCAGTGACTTGGACGACTGTAACTGTTCACAATGAATGTCACCAAAACAACGAACGGTGACCACAGCGAATTTCTCTACATAGCACCACACTTTCTCTTCCACAGATAGATAAAAGAGTCCGCGGTACATTACCACCAGTCAATGGGTTCATGGTGTTGTACGGTGACCAACGGAGTATTTTTTTACGGTTATTCCCCGAGCAGCTGTTGTTTCTCTTTTGGTTTCCATCCGATCCGCAGTCGGAGCATGATCGCTAAAAATGCAGATTTGAAACTCAGCCAGCAGCAAATAAAGCCCGTTAAAAACTAATCAGCTTCAGACAAGCAACGCCGGCGATACTCGCCGCGTTGATTTGTCACAATTGGTACCCGGGGGGAAATTGACGTACATACGTACCCCGGGGACTGTTTTTTGGTCGAAAACGCGATCAACCCGGGGGGGAAAACCAAAGAATGCCATGCATGCTTCCAGGCCGAAAAGGTCATGGGGGGGGGACTCTAGGGCTCCGTATGGCGGTAATCCTTGTCACTTCCGAGTCCTTACGGACGACTCGCTCTGACGTGTGTCCTGGAACCTAGCAAACAAACCTGTTTCACGTTCCACGCATTGATAAATACGCATACAAAAGGCCCATGTCCTGGAAAACTATACCGCAAGGTCCCTATTTTAGACTCACCACGGCGGCGGTGCTTCACGCAATCGAGACTCACTCGGGTATCGCTGCTGCCGCCGTTGTTGAGCCCGACGAGGACAATGATGTTACTTGCCAAAGTTGGGGACGAAAGGCTGCGTATATTATGTGTCTGGCAAAAGCGAACACCCGCAGTGAAGCGTCGGAAGGGGGGGCGGCGGCTCTTCAATGTCGCCGCGGCTTCTGTGTCAAAGTAAATCGTTAGCGAGAAATATTTCGGCTCTTGACCGAAAGAGTCGGGGAAAACATGGTGATCGGCCAATAATTAATGCTTGTAGCTTTTAGTACTGCTGAACTGTTGTAGTAGTAGTACTGCTCTTCTCCTGTAGTGAAGCGACGAATCCTACACACACGCACATATACTAGCAGGATATGTAATGAAAGTGCTGAATTTGTGCGTGCTCGGTGTCCTCCTATTATCCTACCTCGTCCTCCGCCGTCAAGGCCATAAATCAGACGGACGGAGTATTTTCGTTCGCTTTCGTTCCTGCCAGTGGAAAGCGCTCAAGTGCGTGTGCACGTGTGCAGACAGCGGGGACATGTATGTATGTGCGGTTGAAACTCTCCTCGCACTAGAAACTATCAGCCGAGCACCGCAGAACGCCGGGAGTGGGGGGCCTCAGGGAGAGGAGCCTTCGTTGTGACCACGGTTCAGAGTTCGGGCGAGCTGTGTCCACGGAGCAAAGAAAGGTGTCTCAACGAACTCTGGATTCATGTTAAAAAAAAAAACTTCGTACCCCCACCCACCCGCAACTTTGGAGGAGAGGAGGTAGGTGTTGAGGTAAGGGTTGCGGGTCCAAAACAACGGCATTCTTTCCGCGCACAGAGAGCTCTCGCTCGCTCCCTCGCTCGCTCAATAATTAATGTTTGTCGCCTTGGGGCAAGTAACAACTCGTTGGCAGGAATTTTTTCGGCGTCCGAAATGACAAGAATATTCGATGCACCCACGGGGACGCATATCGACTACAAGTTAGCTATGAGCCATGCACCCCCACCATGGCAGTCCCGCCTATAGAGGCCTTGCATGAGCACCGTTTCCCACCCAAGAGCAACCTAGGTCTACTCCAAGGCACACCAACCTAGCACCTCTACCCTTCTCAGGACCAACCTACGTAGCACCATATGTTCTGGGGTGATTGCCCTATAATATTCATTAATTGTCCGCTTTTACGCGGGCAGAAATTTCTCTCGGGCGCTGCGAGGACTGCACCCGGCACCGATCAACTACGGTCGTGGCCGCGCCTGCTTGACCAGCTATTACTCTGATTGTCCCACGACGAGACCGTGCTTTGGCATCGCCGTGCGCTTTTTGTCTGCTCTGTTTCCGACCTCGGAATCCAGTAGATACTCGCCAATAATAATACTGTTGCTCATTTTTGGTGGCCGCCGAGCCTTCATCTTCCTCTCTCGGTTGTCACCTATTGAGTCTTCACACATACATCCAGTCTGCTTTCGCACGTCGCTCTCGCGCCACAGTTGTCTGCTTTCGCACGTCGCTCTCCACTACTGTATGTCGTTCAACATCCCCAACATTATTGAACGTTCCTTTTCAGTTCCTTTTCACACAGGGTGGTTTATGATGACCGAGCGACCCAACCAAACGCGCATCTCTCCTCTCGCTTCCTCTGCCGATAGCTAACAGCAGTATAGAGTAGGGCACACCCTGCTCCCGCCATGTCCCTCTCGCTGTGGTGTTCGTGTGTCTCCCTCCTCCCTTGTCCATGTCTGGCTCCGGGTGATATCTTGCGTGAGCATATTTTACTCTTGAGAGTTGAGAAAGTGTGACATTTTTCACTTGATTAATGTATCGAAATTCGGACATTCTTCACTCGATCAATGCATCAAATTTCGGACATTTTTCACTTGATTAGAGAATCGAAATTTGGGACAAGATTTTATTGCTTTTTTGTGGGATTGTGCTGGCTAAAATCCCAATTAACAATTGGGCAATAGCATACGACATGCGTGAATACAAACGCACAAAAACTGAAGTTCACGGGTCGAATGTCCCCGATCCTTGCCCCCCCCCGCTGCTCCCGGCACCCCACTTCCGACCTTCCATTTCCGCGAAAAACTTTAAAATTGGGCAACATCTCACAGCGGCGAATGCCTCTAAAGGGGCAAATGGAGCCATACATATTGCAACTACCACATGAGGTGTGCGAACTACGATCAAGACTACCGCCTAGACGCCTTTCAACACGGATTAAAGATGAAAAAGCTAATAATGGCAACGAGAAATACGAGCAAATCCCTTCTAAACATGTTTCCTCCTGCAGAACGGAATACCACACGGGCGATTCACGGAAAACACAAGGACAATCTCCCGTCCCTGTCCCTGATGCACCCAACATTCTTCGAGCGCTGATTCACGCTGCACCAAACATGACCTTCATACAAAAGCATCCAGCAAAGATTTCCTGTGACGTCTGAAGCCCATCAGACCGAAACAAGAATCTGAAGGAAATTCGTACTTCACACGGTGCGACCCACAGCGAGCAAACCAACACGAAGAATACGTCCTCCAACTCCCATATTGTGCTCCTCGCGGAGCTGGAGAGCACCCTCGCACTTGCTCGCGTCCGACCACCCAAACAACGGCGAAGTTTTTCGTCCACGACACAAAGCCAACTCTCGACCTTTGCTCGAAACCGAAGTTCGTGCGAGACAGTTCATTCTCACAAGCCAGAGACATCCTTCGCGGTTCGCGCTAATTCGGAGCCACGGGGATCCTTGCGAAAGTGAAACACCAAGTTATATCGTCGGCGTCAGCCCCAAATCTCTCGCGATCTTCTTCGAAAGTAGCACCTGAGAATAGAGTCAAAGCCACAGCAGTCATCAGGAAAAGCAGCCGGAACAAGCGGGGCCGGCGGGGGTGTGATTATTTCGGTCGTGTTACGATGGAATTCCGAAGATCGTGCGAACAAGACTTATCCAAATTCGCTAGTTGGCAAGTACTCGAAACTCGACACATCGGAGCACCCACAAGCAAGGAGAAAGGTTTTCCTCAAAAAGACCGTGGTTCATCGGTTTCCTCTTTGGGCATAATAGTCAGTAGCACGAGCATCACGGAGCCCCTCACCGATCTGATGGCGGCGCGCAACTTCCGTGTGGCGTTGAAGATTTTGAGCTTCTCCAGGCCGGCGCCGAGGTCGTGCTGGGTGAGGTTTCCTCTGGCGGTGGAGAGCCAGGGGTGCTCGCAGGCCTCAGCAGCTGTGAGCCGCCTCGTGGGATCCACGGTCAGCAGCTTGCGGATGAGGTCCTGACAACCAACACAGGGAAACCAAACGGAAGACATGTTGTCATTAAAGGTGTCACGCGCGCGTTGTTGTCGCGCTGTTTCGCACGTTCATATCTCGATTGCTGCTGTAAGGATGCACGAATGCAACTGGCATAGCATACATGACCTGGAATGTAAACTCATCAACACACTGCCGAGCCTTTAATCCGTTTAATCCGTTGTCACGGGTAAAGGGCTGATGACGACATCGCCGGAGTCCCCAACCACCTCTCCAAAGGACCCACAACTCTGCGAGGTGTGAACTCTCCCAAGACTCACTAGAGTGAATCAAGTTTAACGCGAGGTATCCTAATCAGGCAACAGGCATTGCTTGGACACAAGACGATCACGAAAGGAAGCACCACCATACCTGTACCCACCCCGACCATCGCCACCACCTAGCCTCCGCATGATCGTAAGATCTTCCCATCGAATCGCCAGGGGCACGCAACTTGCAAACAGAGATGGACCATCCGGGGATAGTTTTCCGAACGTCCTCTTCTCACCTTAGCCTCCGACGAGACATCGTTCCAGTACTCAGGGTCGAAGCGGTAATGACCGGCCTTGATCTTGCGGTACAGGCGGTTCTGGTCCTCATCGTGGAAAGGCGGGTACCCGGCCAGGATGATGTAGATGATCACGCCGATGCTCCACATATCCACCGACTTTCACCGCGGGAAACAAAAGACAAGCAGCGTGGGAGCGAGGGGTTCAATACCACGCAAAAACCCAAAACGGTGAGCTACCAAATCCCGGTCGCAACGCAGCAACGCACGCACCGGCTACAACAGCCCTCTTGTCCACGCATCCCCTCCCGGTGAACACTCCCGGCACCACTCACCGTGCCGTATGGGCGGCTCCGCAGAATCTCTGGCGCCACGTACCCCGGGGTTCCGCACTGGTCGGTGACGTAACCGTCGAGGACGCTGACCGCGAACCCGAAGTCCGCGAGGCGGATGCTCGAGTCGTCGCTCTTGGACGCCAGGAGCAAGTTCTCCGGCTTCAAGTCCCGGTGCACCACCCCCTGGCCGTGGGTGTACTTCATGGCTTCCAGGAAGGTCAAGCAGACGTCCCTTGCCTCCGCTTCGTTGTAGTATTGCTGCGCGTGCCGGGAGGGGTTCGGTTACACAGCAGTGGGGCGCAAGGCGACATTCTCAGACACTATTGTACACACAATGGGAGTGAGGAGGGCGTACTGGAACACCAAGCGCGGCGGTCGCGAAACAGCCAATATAACTTCGCGCTCCATACAACAGTATGAACCCGCAAATACGCAATATTCCTACAGCGGCTCAAACTGTTCCATGACACATCACAAACTCGGGTTCAGACACACAGCTCAGCGATGGATCCTAGAATAAACTCTAAACAATAACGTGTCCCCGACGGTGGCAACGGAATAAGAAACTGAACCTGGACCCGACATCGACTTGTCTTGAATGGGGACCCGTATCGTGTACGACGGGGCCAGAACGGAACACGCGAGGGTTCGCCGGCTAGGCAAGCACTTCACCATAAGCACCAGGCGCACGAGATGAAGGCCAACAAGTCAACCTCGGCCAGAACAAGCAGGCGACTGCGCATGATGTTGAGCCACAAACAACTTTGCTTGTAGATGCTGGGGCAACCGTTTACGGGAGTATGACGCAACTATTTTACCACCACCTCTCTCTCTCATGTGCTCCGAGCACAAGCAATTGAGTTTCACATCAAAAATTCTTGTTGCACTTGTTTGGCTCCTCTCCATTTGCAACCTCTCCCTTGTTCGTAGTTCGTAACCTCTAGCCTTCAATCCGTCGCGATTCGGAGTGTACTTTGTTAGATGCACAGCATATCCACCACGAGGGTAGCCTCGAGTGGATATGCTGTGCATCAAATAACATAACCATCGCAGCCTACTCAACATAAAAAAATTGTAAACCCCATGGCATGAGCTGGAGACAGCCTCCACTCCTCGCTTTCGACAGAGAAGGAACCTCTTACCTTCTGGACGATACGGTCGAAGAGCTCCCCGCCCTCCATGAGCTCAAGCACCATGTAGAAGAACTTCGGGTCGTCTTGGTAGAAGTCGTAGATGCTCACCAGATTGGGGTGGTCTAGCTCGCGCATGATGTTCGCCTGTTGGGGGGGGGGGTTCGCACCGTCGTCGCAACAAGAGAGAAAAGGACGAAACAATGCCACGCATTCATTTGGTCGGCCCGTTCGCTCGCTCGATGATGATAGCCGAAACATGCGCATAGTGCTCGCCAGTTGGGGTGGTGTTGGTCGAGTGCAAGTGAAACAATGTAGGTCGGCTGGCTAGCTAGATCGATGGTATTTGAACAAAACAAGCAACGAACTTATAGGAGGGCAGAGAGCGAAACCCTAGCAAACAGCAACGTCTAGATCGCAACTACTGACACGGGTAAAGTAAATAAAACAACGCACAATCATCTATCTAGCCTAGAAAAAGACGCTTGATTGATACACGAAGAGCACACCCAACAGACAAAGTAGGCTCGGCAGGCACATGAGAAGTGAGGCACATGATCCCTCCACTAGTAAACCCAATAGAACAACAAGAGCCCAGTAGATCGCTGGCACGGGGGGGGGGGGGGGGAGACGCAACACACGTGGCGAGACTGCTCGGTGTGAGTTTATGAGGTTATTGAATCAGGTACAAAATCGGAACGAGAAAATATTGTCCCCTGTCCGCCAACGCGCATGAGTTTAAAGCTTTTCTTTGTACATCACGCAGAAGATACACAATGCCCGGAAGAGACAACGGTGGGAAATAGAAAAACAGTGAGAGCGATTGCTCGATGACTATCGAACAACACAGGCGCTTCTTTACTTCCCCTCTCACTGTTTTGTCTATAACCCCGTCCGTTGTTCCTCTGCGGGCGTCGTGTATCTTCTGTGACAGCGTGCCGCCCCAAGCAACAAAGGTTCCACTTTCAGTGTCGGAATTAACGCTTGGTCAACCGTCAGGCACATAAGGATATTGACGCAAGTCACGAGTCGACGGCACCCCCCCCCTCGTCCCCAATCCCCCCCCCCCCACCTCCGCGATGACCTCCTGCTCCTCCTGGTCGGACAGGCCCTCCCTCTTTATTCGCTTCACGGCGTACTCGCGGGGCGCCGCGGCCGAGCCATCGTCTGCCCCGTCCTCCTCCTCTGACAAGCTCGCGGGCAAGGCCGGGGTGGCCTTGAACACCATACCATACGCGCCTTCGCCGAGCATGTTGCCCAGCTGGTAGGCCTTGGAGAATTCGTCCGTCGGCAGCCACGAGAACATGCGCCTCGCGGCAAGGACCTGGCGCACGGACGTGCGCGGCGCACGTGCGTGGATGCGTGCGGTCGGGGTTAGGAAATGGGGAAGAGAGAAGGTTCATCTCACGCCGCTTCCACCTCAACCTTCACACTAGCGCATTTAGGACATTTCATGTCGCAAGCGGGTGGACCCTTTCGCCGCCAATTTGTATTGCAAAAAAGGAGGAGGGATACAGTGTCCTAGCGCGCGCGGGGGGGGGGGGGGCTTACCGTCTTCATCGTTGCTCGGAGCTTTCGCTTGGCGTTGAACACCTTGAACGTCTGCAAGTTATCGCACAGATCGCGGGCCTCCAGGCTCTCCGCGCTGGCGAGCAGCCACGGGTGACTCTTCGCCTGCTCCGCCGTCAACCGCTTTGTCGTGGCCACCACGAGGAGGTTGCTGATGAAGTCCTGGGGGGGGGGGGGTGAGTGATGCGCAAAACATGTTCGTTATCACTTATTCTTGCAATGGTAGCCAAGAGAGGCAGGGGATGGGGAGGGCAGTAGGACTACTTTCCCTGCATCAGCGAACTGATGTTCGGCGATGAAATCCTGGCAATGGTAGGGCAGGGACAGCAGTACGACTACATTCCCTGTATCAGCCTTTGCTGACTGCTCCGACAGCATGCATCCGCCGTCCTCGGATGCCACAAGAGAGGAGTGGCCTACTACAAGCACCGCTACCTACAACGACTACGATTTCCCACAACGATCGCTCATAACTCCGCCGCCGGCCGCAACAAGACAAGGACAACAACGCCTCGACGGTTAATTCGGCGACAAACCAGAAATCGTTTGATCCCTGCGAACACGCGACGCCCGAGCTGAGCCAGGTACTACCCCGCTCTACCGAGTCCCATCGCTTGTGCTGGCCGTGGCGTGATCATAAGCACCACCAAGTGCAACCAAGATTTATTTTTTGTTACATCGTAAAACAAGCGGCACTCAAAAGCCCCGAGCAAAACAAGTTGACAATAAATAGCAGCGCTTGCGATCGCAATTTATAAAACAGCCAAAGTACTTTGATCCAACCGACATTCCAGGCTTGTTCGTCCCGAAAGACGAGCAGGTCGGGCAGCATGTGGCTGCCATTGTACGATTGCCGGGCAGCATGCGCCTGCCCTTCTACGCTTGCTAAAAAAGATACATATATATCGGCGTTTTGGTTTCCTTTTTTTGCTTTCACACCTGGGCCTCGCCCGAGATATTCCTCCACTCAGTCGGCTTGAACTGGTAATCGGCCGCGGCTACCCGGATAAACATCTTGGTAGTGTCGGGCTCGAAGAATGGGTGCGCTCCGCTGAGGAGCATGAACGCGATCAGGCCGATGCTCCACATGTCCGGCGACTGCTCTCCGTTGGTTTTTAGCGGGGGTCGACGAGAATGTTCGGATTGGTTTCGGACTAGGCAGCAACAGGGGGTAACGATGCATCCCGGATGTACCGCACACGGATGGCAGGCATGCGGTTATGTACGGCAAATGTGTACGGACCGATCGTGCGTCAAGAGCGGGAAAAAACGGGGCCACGGTGGAGAGGCGACGACAAAAATGATCGAGACCCCACCGTTAACGAATGTTTTCCTCGAATTAATTGCCTAGTCGTCCGTTTGCACCATGTTCGGGTTTGATCATGTGTCTCGATTGCGTTCGTTTTCCAACCGCCAACTCTGGGCGCCGAGACCAGACCAAGAAAACACCACCACCGTTCACGACCCCACAGGTAACCCCCCCCCAGCCGTTCTTTCTCACCGTGTCGTGCGGTTTTCCCAAGAGCACCTCCGGAGCCACGAACTCGGGGGCCCCGCCGTTGGTAGTGACCGGGCCTTCGCGGACGCTCATGGCCTTCCCGAAGTCGGCGATCTTGAGGCTGCCGCTGGCTCCGGCCCCCTGGGCGGCGAGGAGGAGGTTGCCAGGCCTCAGGTCTCGGTGCACCTGGAGGGGCACCGCCGCCGCAGCAGTAACAACAAACAAAGATGTTTGTGTGGTTGGGTAGGTTCCAAGTAGACTAAAAAGAAGCCAAGAAACATTAGCAGTTTTCTTCCCGCTTACTGCAAACACTTCAAAACCGATCCCCTTCGACTGCTGTGGTCATATCTCGAACGGTAGTCTCTCTTTGATTGTAGTATAGTTCCTTATTCAAAACAGCAAACAATACGCTGACAAAGACGTACAGCAAACAGACCACCACCACAAAAAATATCGGCAGAAAACCGTTTTTTTCGCACACGAAATGGATCGGTACAAGCGTCGAGCCTCGCGAGCATTAAGGGGGCGCAACCACTTGACATTTTGTGTGTACAGCAGTGCAAGAAAAAAATGGCCTGCCGAGGTGGCGGTGTTGGGGATGCCGAGGCAGACGACATAATCTGCCGAAGATGCCGGCAGAACATTTTCCTCTGGGGATGTTCCCTTAAAGTCCCGCCAACACAGCAGTGCGTCCCCATAGCACAACGCATTATCAGATGGCTACACTAGCGAACGAAGTCAACCAAATAACGGAAGCGATTCATTCGCGTGGCACTCCCGTCCATCTGTTCACTCCTGCCTATACGTTCATTACCGTCGCCATAGTCGATTCGCGGGCGCCCCCTTTGGTGCTGATCATACTTTGTCTTGTCAACCGACAACATGTAGAAAAGCACGTGACCTTGATCCCCAATCCCTGCCCCTCAGCAAACACATGGAAGTATTTTCCCGCTAGCGGTGTACGCTTCATTCCATCGTCAAGACAAGAAGACAAGAGGGGTGGCGCATCGTGTGCGCCGACGACAAAAAAGCGCCTGCAGACGAACGAGACCCCTGACAGCTTGATATATTAGTACTCACGATCCCGCGGCTGTGAATGTACCCCATCGCGTCCACGAGCTGCTTGCACACGTCCCGCGCCTCCCTCTCGTTGTAGGTATCCTGAGGTAATCGTAATCGTTTTGATATCAAGGGGCGGAGGGAGTGTTTGCCTCGGCCATTCCAACATCCGACAACGCACAGCTATTTACCCGTTGAGACGGAGCGCCCATGCGCTTCGTAGATGGGTGGAGACCAGGCGGACATGCGGGCTTCCGTGACCTTTCGGCCGTAGGGACCGGTAACGCTGTATAACATAACCCCAACCGAACAACAACATCAATAACTCCATTAAAACACGACATGACGGGACAGTTTTCAGAGACCGCACTCGACAGTTTCACACGGAATCATGACCTTCGCACCATTTCATTTCAAGGGCAAAAGACTGGTAGTCAAGCGGCCGTCCAGCGCGTTACAATTTTGTCACTAGACCCATCTTGCCCCCTTCCCAAACAAAACGAACGAAAGAGGAGAGTGTACCTTCTTGACGACGTGGTCGAAAAGCTCGCCCCCGAGAAGGAACTCCATGACCACGTAGTAGTACCCCGTGTCCTTCGGGTAGAACTGGTAGATCTTCACGATGTTCGGGTGGTCCAGCCCGCGGAGGATTTGCACCTGGGACCGTTCGTTCGTGCGCGGTGGTACAAACCAAGTGTTAGCTAACAAAACACATGCATTGCTCTCGGGGGGGGCGGGGGGGGGGGTGACTCGAAACCGTGTTCCGTGTTGTTGTCTTGTCTCGAAAATAGTACTTCTATTTAGTAAAATTGACCGGGTAGAGCGGTCCATGCAAATTCAAGAAGCGCGCGCTCACGCCAGAGTTCAAGGTTCAAGACGAAAGCGTATGGCCTGGTGAGAACAAACGAATGTGTCCATTCGATCTTCAAGAACGCAAACAGGCGACTCCACGTTTTTCTCTCTTCGACTCCGCGAGATGTCACGTTCATCAAGTAATGCTGTAGGCCGACTATCCCACAGGGAGGTGGATACAACAGGGTGGTCCTCGAAAACGAAGACGCACTACGCCAACATAAATACATAAATACGACCCATTAGCACGACCTCTACCCGCCACACGTGCGACACAACCGCACATATGAGACTCACTCATGACCGCACCAAGTCAGAAGCGGCTAAAACACTCAACACCTTGAGCTCAAATTCCACGCACAACAGTTCCCTCGCCACTATTGCTTCCCATCTCCCCCAAACTCCAGCAGTGTCCCCAACGCCAATGAAAGACATCACTGATACCGCTGTCTATTGAAACGGCTGAGTCTACCCGCGAAGGGTGTTCGTTTTCGAGAAATATCATTCTTCGCTCTGAAGGGAAAAGCCGGGACAGTGTAACTATTGGAAAATGCCGCCTCGGCGGAAAGGGACAGTCAAGGGGCAACGCAAAGCGTCGTAAATTAAGCGCTGACTCTTACTCCAAATACAACACAAGCTTCCAAGCTGTGACTTACGCTGGTACTTCTATAAAACAAGCGGCCAGGCACAGTGCATAAGAAGCGTCAATAGAACAAAGCGGCCACGCTAAACACCATGATGCGAAACAAGCGGTCAAGCATAGTACCATGGTGCAACTCAAGCGGTCAAGCGCAAGCCAACGCGGCCACGCGAAAGTGCAAAAACACACTACGCCTGCTCGGCTCCACCTTTCGCTGAAAAGGACAAAAAGCGGTCAACCTAAGTGTCCCACAAACGGTTAATTTGTCGCTTAGCGGAAAGGGTGAAAAACAGCCCAGACAAGTCATCAACAACTAGTCTAACGTGTAGGCTTTCACCTCGGGGTAAGGTAAGGACAAAAGAGCCGCAAGGCCACCTAACCTGGTATGCATCGTCTCACCTCGCGGAATAGAGCCTGCTTCTTCCTCTCCTTGAGGTGAAACTTGCGGACCCGCTTGATGGCACACAGCATCTTCCCGCCGCCCTTGCCCTTCTTCTTGATGGTGCCCTTGAACACCTTCCCCGAAGCGCCCTGCCCGAGCTGGTCGCCCAGGCTGAAATACCGGTAGAAGTCTGACGACACCACAGGACGAAGCCGCACACAAACATGCGAGCCGGACAAGGGGAGGGTTACAGGCGGTTAGAGACGAGAGCAAGCATGTGGAGGGTGGAGGCAAGACACGACCCCGGCAGGCACGAGAGTCTAAGAGACAGGCAAACACACACACAGAGAGAGAGAGAGAGAGAGAGAGACCGGTTTGACAATACTGCCGTAGCAAAGCAGGTTCCGGGAACAAGAGCCTAGACAAACAGCAGCTGGATGCGCACGCAGCGACGGGTCGTTGTGGTGTAACACACAGCAGATACAGCAGCAAGGTAATCGTGCGGTAGCCTCGAGGGATCGGCCGGCTCGATCACGGAAGACGGCAGAAAGCACTCCGTCAACACGACCGGCAACGCGGAGAGGCGCGCACGTATGACGGCCAGCAGAACTGGTGACAACCAAAGTCACACGAGTGCCTCCCGCCTCTCAGGGAAATGTCGCTCGCAAACTTTGTCAGCACACCAGGTCGAACGAGATACTCTCAGTCCCCCCGCACACAACCGGCACCAAGCAACGGTACCATCGTCGTTGGTTCCCACCCTGCGCTGAATCTTCTCGTTTGTCTTTCTGGAATTGCGTGTCGTAGGAGGTTTTCTTTCAATTCATGGGACAGATTAATAAATACTTAGTAGTTCTTCTTTCGTTAACCACGGAAATTCGGTTACGTTCCTCCAAGCGTGCCATTGAAGAATGGGGGAGGGGAATACAGGTCTCCTGTATGAAGACAACAACAACAGCAACAACATCGTTAACAACATCAACAGCACCACCAACAACAACAACATCAACAGCGACGATGACCACGACGATGACAATGACGTCACCTGTGATCAAGGCTCCCGCTCTCCAAAGAACCGATTGGTTGCCTCGGGCATTGCCGAGCCACACGCATCGACGATCATAGTACCGATTCAATTGGTGCACCCGTAACTTGTCGGCCTTCAGAGTCACATCCTACCCACCAGGTGTGATGGGCGCTTTCGACCTCAAAGTCTCTCATTCGACTATTAACTTGACACTGACTGCTGTGTACCAAGCACTAAAAGACACCACTAAAGATTGAGATCGACCCAGTCCTCGGCAGAAGCGTGGGCAAATTGGACCAAATTTTGGGACTACTGTTGGATGTCCAAGGCATAACATACTTGCGGACATCTAGAGCAGGACCCTGGGTTTCAGGCGTCACGCCAAAAGCCCATGTGCGGGCATAGAAGACCCAATACCACCCTTCTCATCCCGTCCCGTTTTCTCACTTTTAGCCTCGAAGTCTCCGACTTTGATGCCCACCATGTCCCTGTCCTTCCCGTCATCCTTGCTGTACATGCTCGAAATCGCCTTCTCCTCCAGGCGGCGCATGCCGGACCTCTGCTCATTTCCCACGCACACGGAGAACGAAATCACGAACGAAAGAGTGTTCGGTCATGTGTCTCTCGAGAGGAAACCGGCGCTCGTTGAAGCCACGCGAACGCACACGCATATGCACGGCAGCGGCGGGGGGGGGGCATCACAACAGGTTTCTTGAGGAGAGCACCTTGCCATTGCAAGGCACACAGCTATAAAAGTACAGGCGAAGTTAAATTTCTGGCCGCGTAGATGACAGCAGTGGTAGTAGTGAACACACCACACCTCCTAGCGGAATCTACGCTACCCCCTGGTCTTCCACCACCCATCCTCAACATCGACACACAGTACGTAGGAGCCACAGGGTCAGCAGCGAAAATCTTCGCGTTTGCCAAACCTTTCTCATCGAGGGCTGTTTAGCTGGACAAAGACATCGTTGACAGCGGTATCACCGACAGTCATTCCCAAAAAGTAAACTTTTAGACAAAGTTGTCGAGCGAACCGGAGAGCTCGACAATCCACTACACCCTGGGGATCACAAAAACACCTGCTGCCACCCGCTGCCTTCCCCTCCGTGCCGGTGCGTGCCAGATAGGTACGCGAGCAGATCAAAATAAACAAGATCACGTTTGTGGTCTTCAGCGACACGCAACCCGCTAAATAACGCCGTCTTTGATCGGAGGACGGACTGCGGTTAACCCCTTTGGGTCTAGGCTGGACTGTCAGATTTTTTTGTTTGCGCCAAAAAAAAAAAAATGAGAGCGAGAGCGAGCGGGAGAGAGAGAAGTGCAGAGAAATACACCAATGTACTTCTGCACACGCAACAGCTATCTCCACCTGTAGGCCATGAGAGAAGCCGGCGACAGGGTGGTGGCCACAGACAGGGTCGTACAAGGGTTGATAGGTGGTCGCGCTGCGGTCAGTAGGGCAGGTTAGCTGTGTAGACTCCGAAATGATCAGTCGTCTAGCTGCCTCAACTAGTCTATTTTCGGTATATTGTAAATGATCAGTCCAGAGAGGGCAAAATGATCAGTGAAGACCCATAGCTGGTATTTGTACTTCTGTACTTCTCTGTTCTCTGTCCCCCCCCGAAATGTGCCCTGCCAGCTCTGTAGAGCTCCTGTGTTTTTCAAACAACAAGCACATCCACCAGCACACACCTGTACCTCGTGGTTTCCTAGGTTCGGGCGAGGGTGGTATGTGTGGCGCTACGAGTGTGGATATGTTGCTGATATCTTTTACTCGTCTACAGCAGTAGTAGTAGTGTTGTTGCAGCGTTCGTTGTAGCTGCTGACACAATGACTGCTGGATCTTGGGAACGATTTTCAAATTGTTGGGAACCACGATATCCTCGATATCTGGGCTTCGGCAGGGATTGCAATACCCCTCCCTTTTGCTGCCCTCTGCTCTTTGCAGCAGTGGCTTCCTACGTTCGGGCGAGTGTATGTGTGGTGCTGGGAAAGAACACATATGTATGTATGTATGTATGTATGCACACACGCGTTCATTGACATGTGCATACGTTGAGAGATTCATGATTTGGCATTGATTGGCCCCATTCCCATTCCCGAGACCTTGATATTACCCGCTGTCACTGACGTCTCTTCATTGGTCAGCCGGTTAGCGCGGGTGCTAATAATCTAGACACACCTACCTATGGACTTGCCAATACACGGCGCGAAGGGCTGAAGGGCGGCAACTCCACGACTTGCCACTACACCAGCATTTGCAAATGATCAATCAATCATCAGTGAGAACGCCTGAAGACTCAAAAGGGTTAATACAAGGCACTACAGCAAACAACACAACAACGCCCGCGTGGTTTCTGTCCTCCACACATCAACACGTGCCCCGACTTCTAAAGAGCATCACAGCAGGTGCTGCAACACGGCATCGCGTTTAGTAACGAGCACCTGTGGACAGCACGATACGTCAGAACTTCCTCCACCTTCTCATAGCCGCTGTTCACAATCAACACATCTTCTTGTACACAGGTGCTTTAGCGATTGAGAAAACGATTTGACAAACCTTGGTGTCATATCCATGGTACGGCGATGCGGGCAGAGTGATGTTATCACACGTCTATGTGCGCCCATTGCGATGTTTATTATACCTCACCATGTTTTTTAGCATCTTTGTTTGCCCTTTTTTCCCTGGGGGAAACTTGTCTCAAGCTTTGCAGCGCCCTGCGTTTTCCGTTCTCTCCCGTTTTCCTCCCCAGCGTTGCTCCTCCCTCGTGTCAAAGGGGACCCTGTTAATGACAAATTCATCAAGCGCAAGCACGGCACACACATCAGCGGAAAAGGCGAAGCAAGTAGGAGGAAGACCTGTGAAACAAAAAGGAAATTCCTGTGTTTATTACCTCCCTCCCTCCGGCTGGTGCGACAGACACATCCGCAAAGATGTAGGTGAAGACTGGCGCCAAAAACAAACGGGACTGAAACTCAAACGCACACGAAGCACTTCTCGACGCATTTTTTTTTTTTGGTCAGCCGATTAATTAATGATAACAACAAAAACACACACACACACCATGAAGGAGGAGGAGAAGGAACGGGAGGAGGACAAGACAGAGACCAAAGCAGCAGTCGAGGAGAGAATAATGTCGTGGAAGAGAGCAAGAGCTTCGAGCCAGATTACCTTCCCCACCACAAACGACGCAGGGCCAGAGGCGAAACGTCGAGAAGTTGCTGTGAAAATGACCATGAGAACGATAGAGTTGGAAGGAAGGAGCATGACGGTGAACGCACTCCAAAACGAAATCAAGTGCAAGGTTGCAGCCTTCGTAGACGTGTGCAGTTTTCTTCTGTTGCTACATACCGTTTCTGTCTTTGATCCCGAGAATAGGTTAGTCTCCCCCGTGCCGCCCCCTCAAGGAGTCCCAGTTAATGACATTTAGAAGTGTTGTTGGTTTTCACCCGCACGGAGACTGACGCCTTTTCATTGGTCAGCCGGTTAGCGCGGTCGATGCTAACAATAGTAAAAACACACACACACACAGAACCCTTGCTGTCCTCCGCTCGTTGCACCAGTCACTTCCTAGGTTCAGGAGAAAACATGCGTACTGCTGTAGAGTCGTGGTGTGTGTCTAACAGGAAAATACTTTGTAGAGACGTTCCTTTCGGCATTTGCATTCAGCTCGTTGAACCGTTCTCGAAGTTTGGCCCCCCTTTCACGAGACCTTGACTGGGCATTGGGCATTACATGCTCGGTCGTGCGTGCGCGCGCCGTCTCCCGTGCCTCACGACAAAGAATGCAAACACTAAGTACTTCGCAGCTATAGCGGTACACTCCTGTAGAGCGATCCAAGTACACTGCTGTACGTTGAGCGGAACTAAGAAATGGCCAGAGAGAGGCGGGTATGCTGCGTAGAGCAAGAAGTGCAGCTGGTTTAGCGGGAGGAGGAAAGAGGCTTCGTCCAATCCAATCGCGCCTACACAAACCTCTTCCCCGAAATGAAAGCCTGGGCGTGGACAGCGGCAGTTATCCGTTGTCCACCCGCAGGCCGGACAGACGTATGTGTGTGCAGCAGAATGCTCTCTTGCAGTGTAAGGAAACGTTCAAGTCTGAGCGGCCAATTATTGCCGGTCCTACAGCAGTATAGGCCAAGAAGGATAACTTCGCACGAAGCCTTGCGGAACCTAACAATGTAAACATGAATAACCACGAAAACCCACACTATGTAGCCGTCAGACCGATGCAAACATCTCGGCGCACAGCAGGAGATCTACCTCTCACAAATCTTCCATCTCGGCGAACAAGCCAACCTGAGAAAAAGTTGTGATTTGGGGGGGCAGAAAAAATTGATTCTTTACGCAACGTCAAATTGAGGGTGCTTGCCGCCTCTTTCTGCAGGCGAACATGCATGGCCAGGGCAAACCCGCGTTGGGGGAAGTTCCTGCAAAATAATACGCTACTCATGCCAACATTTTGGAGTAACAGTAGCCGTCTGTTGCTGGCGACTCATCGCCCATAGACGCATGTGCTCTGCAACCCGGTCATGAAAGTCAAGAGGATGAAACCTATCTTCCCGCCGCCGCTTGTTGCGCTTGTCGAGAAAAATATCACGGGTGCGGGCAGTGCAACAATGGCACAGGTGAGGCTTACTGCTCTGCAACCACCCCTCCGTGGTTAACGCAGCCCGTTGCAGTTTGGCCGCTGGCTTCCCGTGCTGCCGATCGCTTTTCGTACGCGAAGAGGTGCAGAGGTGTGCCATACCAGCTCCCCCTGCCGTGCTGTCTCTCTGCTCTTTGCTGAACATCTGGTAAAAATTTCGGCACTCATCGGATCTCGCCAACACACGCCGACAGACGATTTTTCTCTTGAAGCACCTGCCTTCTTACCTTATTTCCGGAGAGATCAACGCCTGGAGCTACAGTCCACAATCAATGTAGTGCTGTCGCGTTGCTCTACCTTTTGTTTGGCTCTCTTCTCGTCTCCCGCATTTGATTTGTCCGATGTTCCCTTGCACCAGGGCCCGCAGATAGCCGATATGTTGAAGAGCTAGTCTACACCCCAGCGGGAACAAACTAATGTTTTTCGGAGGGGGAGGGGGGGGGGCGGGGTAAGGATCCTAGTCTATCTCTCTCTCTTGCTCTGTGGTTAGACGACACATGACATGCTGCCTTGCGAGTGTCGAAGAGGAAGCGGGAGTTGTGTACACGACAGGAACATGGGTTTGTTTTCCCTTCCTCAGGGACGATGGAGCTGGGTATTCGGCCAATAGCAAGCAGGCCAGTCGTGTAGTGTCCATCTTCAGCGTGTGGTTGCAAAAAAAGAGAAAACATGTGACTGCTGCTGCTGCTGCTGTTGTTGTTGCGTCGTCCGCGTGTCGACATGCGATTTGTTCATCCACCGGTCCTCGGTGAGGAAATCGACACCAACGGCCTTTTACAACTCATACATTCAGCCACAGAGGACAGGGTTATTTGCTTTTTAATACCGTTTGGCGCATTCCGAGCTAAAGCCGGCCTTTTCGGGGTGGGGGGAGGGGGTGTTCTCAAGTACACATCAGTTAGTTATATACAGAACGCGCCACCACTTAAGAACTTAGCAGTTAAGAACCTGAGCCTCAAACAATCCAAAATCTAAGAACTTGGCCGTAAGAACATATGCTCAGTTCCGACGTTGTATTAAGAACAAGAACCCGCCCGGGGTACCAATGCGCATAGGGATAAGAACGGAGCCCCAAAACGCGGCGGCTGCAAGATAAGAACTCAGGAGGCTGGGGGTTACCCAAACGAAGTTAGTTTCTGATTCGAGGCGGGGTGGGGGAGAGAGAGGACCTCGTGATGAATTCTTGTACGCGCGGAGGGGGAGGGCGTACTCTCTCTCATGTTTCGCATGCCTTAGCGGTAGGACAATTGACCAACGTCTTCGAGAGGACGCATCCATGTTCCAACAGGATCACTGATGCCAATCGTTCCTTCCCACTTCGAAGTACTTTGTCAAACGTGGGCAAACCATGTTCTCCCTAGCCGATCTACCCTATATCGATATCACTTCCCGCCTTTTCAACCCACTTCCTATGCCCCAGTACAGCTACCACCGTTTTCTCCTGGCTATTCCATGCCTCAAACACCTCCCTGTACCTTTTCTTCTACATGTCCAACTCAGTCATGTACATTTCTCTGTCCTTGTCGCCCAACACGGACGTTTCGCAACGACATGAACCCGATCTTCGCTCTCGGAGTCGCATTCACATTGAACTCATCTTCATCGTCTACCTTCCTGAATCTTCGTCAATGTTCTCGAAGACCGTTTTCCCCACTCCAAAAATTGACCTTCGGCTTTCTCCCTGCATCCATTGGTCCATGTAGTAGGTACCTATACCTTCTTTCAACATCCGTACACATGGAGACCCTCCTTATCCTTGGATCCTTTTGTTTTATGGTGTTCTCTCTCGGCGAAAGAAGCAGATTTCTTGTTCTCGAACCCCTCTAGATCTACCGTTCGTTTCCAATGTACCAGCCTAATCGATTTTGAACTCTTCCTACTCCGTCTACAACCTTAATCCACTCCCTCCGGGTCGGTACCTCCATTTTTCTTGTTTGTCCACTTCGCCTCCCAGGCTTCTCTCGGCAATCTCTCCTCTCCCACATCGTACGACATACGGCCTACCTGCCATTTTAACCTACTTACGCCTCTTCCCGATCGTAGGAGTTGGATCCGAAGGGGGGTGTACTCTCTCTCCTGTTTTGGCAGCCTTACTTAGCGGTTAGACCGTTGACCACGCGTCCTCGACAGGACGGAGCATTGTTCCCACAGGTTTCGATCACCGATGGCCAATCGTTCCTTCCTACGTTGCCAAAAAGGTCGCTCAAACATGTTTTCCCATCGGTATCACTTTCCGCTTTATTTTCCAACCCATTTCCTATGCCCCAGTACAGCTACCGTCTTCTCCTGGCTATTTACATTCGTCAATTGTCTTTCTTTCTGTGCTTTTCCCTTCTGGTACTTTTTGCCAGCTAGCTCACTCATGTACATTTCCCTCTCCCTCTTGTACCACGGACATTCTGCAAGTACATGAAGATGGTCTTCGCCCTCGGAGCGGCAATCACACCTGGGTTTGTCGTCTTCATCGTCTAGCTTCCTCAATCTTCGTCTACGTTCTCAAAGGCCAGCATCCCCAGTCCTAGGTTTGACCTTCAGCTTTGTCTCTGCATCCATTGGCCCTCCATGTAGGTAATCTTTAAATATATTCCTTCTTTGATATTCCGTACACATCGAGACCCTCCGTGCCCTTGGTTTCTTTGGTTTGATCCTGTCCTTCTCCCTCGCCAAAGCAACAACAGATATCTTCTCCTTGAACCCCTCTAGACCTCCCCTCTCCAATGTATCACCTTTGCCAAGTTGGACCCCCTTCCATGCGTCATCTACAACATTAACTCCCTCCGTAGGTTGGTACACCAATTCTTCTTGTTTGTCCACTTCGCCTCCTAAGCCTTTCTCGGTAACCTCTCCTCTCCCATACCGTACATGCGGCACTGCCACCTAGGGGGCGATTTTACGGCTACATTGTACTCTTACAGCAGTAGTGTCTCGCGATGAAATCCACGCAGAAAGACCTGTCTGTGTCCTCTGCATATGGCAATCGGTATAGAAATAAGAACAAGAACCTCGTTTACCATAGGTGGATACCTGGTCCAAATAAGAACTTGGAAAATAAGAACATGTGCTCGGTTGGAGGCAACCAATAAGCGTCGAGCCTCAAGCTAAATAAGCGGTTCTTAAGTGGTGGCGCGTTCTGTAGTCAGTCGTGCACGTGTAGACCTCTCGCATCCCTGCAAAGCCGGGCAGAGCTGTTAGACAATTGGCCTCTCGCATCTCTGCAAAGCCGGGACAGAGCACGCCGGGTTCTCACCGGACCAGGCTCTCACATCACCAAGCGCGAAGCGCCGTGGGGTATTCGGCGAGTCGCATGAAGGGTGAGCTGCATCCTGTGTTCGGCATCTTGTGATTTTTACTTCCTCGCGTACGGATGACAGCTGCGAATGACTTAATTTCTGGTGCTTTCACTTCCAGAGACAGTTATTGTAAGCACTGCTGTATAACTGCCTCGAGGGTGCTTGACCAATTTAACACAACGTGGTGCGATCATCCCCTTTGCGCGGAGTGAGGGTTCTCGACCCCGCACAACATAATCTACTTGACCACCATTCATGGTTACCGCAACAAAAAGCGGGGTAACCTGGTTGCCGAGCTCACGGAGTGATCGGCTTGCTTTACACCGCCCGTCGTTGCCAAGTGACGAAAACCCAACCCCGATGGCAAAAACCGGGCGGGGGGGCTTCTTTCCGGGGGGGGCGATTCATTCCCATCCCTCCCCTGTCTCTGGAATTTTGATCACACCATCCCTTTGCCGTGATAGTGATGACATTAAATTTCAAAATAAAACTCGCTCATTCGGTGCCAGGGTTTCAACGCAATTTTCCTGTCAGATGGAGATTCATTCGCGAAAACGGAAAAAGCGGGGATAGGACCGAAACATCCCCGTGTTCGAAAAATGTCCCGACCTACCTGAAACTTTCAGGTCATGGTAATTTTGGGGTGGGGTTGGCGAATCCAGAGTCAGAATTTCCCAACTCTATTTTCGCTCAGAGTTTTTGTCCCACACCGGTCGGTATGTTCTTGCCGCCGAAGTCGCGAAAACACCAAGGAAACATGTTGTGAAGCGGGTAAGAACGCATGCGCTTGCCCAAAAAGCCCAAAATACAAAGTCAAAGCACGCGCTCCGCATGGCGCTATGCACGCGTCCTAGTTTCCCTCTTTATCATACGGAAACCCTCCTTGCCGAACACGATATTGCTTTCGCCTTTCTCTTTCTACCGAAAACAGGATCACCCCAACCACGAGATCTACCCCAGTGACCCCGACGATCGTCTCCTCAACTTCGCCCGGCATGCTTTGAGCACGAAGAGTAGGCCCGGGTACATGGTTCTCGTTAAAGCACGCGTTATATGTGCTCACGCCGCCGTCATTCTTTTTGCAACAGCAAGACGCCGAAGAGGTGACCAGCTCGTTGTCGAGGACGACCTCAAGCCGAACCACCTCGCTCTCCTCCTCCTTACCCTCCCGCTCCGACTCTACTTCTTCCTCCTCGTCTTGCTCGCCGTCCTACCCCTCCTCCTCCCCCTCTGGCCTGCCTTCTTCCTCCCCATCCCCTTCCCTCTCATCCTCGGACCCGTCCACCAACATCAACTTGGCTCCGTACCCTGCCGGTGCGCCTTGTACCAGAGCACCCAGGAGCACCCTCCCACGTCTTCTCTTCCTCCTCCTCCGCTTCCTCCTCCTTATCGTCACCAGGATCCACGAGGCGACATTTAGTTTTCTTCGTTTCTTGCCCCCCCCGCTTGGCGCCGTCAGATTCGCCCCCTGCCCCGAGCTCGTCGCCGATCTCCTCTCAGCGCCGTTCCTACTCCACGTAGGGCTCCACGGCACATACATATGGCCTCGCTCTTTTTCACTGTGAGCTCCTTCCCCTCCACCTCCTCCTCGTACGCCCCCTTCGCCAACGCCAATCTTTCTCGACCACGTCCGGAATGTCCCCGTCGCTCCCTCGCCTATTAGTCGTGGTCTCGAGGTCCGTTAGGCCCGTGTTGCCTCCTACAAACATAAAGGTATCCGGAGTACCTGTGGTGCCCTATTTAGCTGCAGGTGCGGCCTGAATACAGATTTGATGTGTTTGGCGTGCACACGCCGGATGCGATACGGAGACCACGTGGCGTAAGTAATCGGCGAGCTCCTGGTTCCCTCCCTTCCCCGATGTAGTCGAAGAAGAATGTATCCAAGAACTTCACCACGTCTTCAACTCCCGCAATGAGTTTGCCAAGTTGCTCTGACTTCCTCACGGCGTCCTTCGCCACACCGCCGATTACCATCGTGGCAGCCTTTGGAATGAGAGGTCGCCGCAAAATGGTGCTCCACGATGAAGCCAAATCTGCCGCACGCTGTCGGCTAGAAAGCGGAAGTTGCGCCTGACCTTGTACTGCTTGGCGCACCCGGTCGTGAACTTGTGCACGCGGGGGGTCCGTTCGTCTTCCCGAGCGGCGGCAGATAGTTGCGTCACCTCCGGGACCATCCAAGAGTGCTATAGTAGTGGGCGGTCTGAGTGAACGCGTGGCGGGGGAAGTCGAAGTCATCATGGACAGGCCGGTGGGGTGATAGCGTCGCTCCGCTTGCTTCGGGGTTCGAACCAGTACGCGCCCTCGGGCATCGCTTCCGTCGGAGAAGGGTCGGGCCTCAACCTTCCAACGCGCTTGTTGGCGCTCGCCAAGTGGTCGTGGTGAACGCCGAGGAGCTCTGCCTTGCGTTTGGACGATACCGTTCAAGGACCATCCCCCTCGAACGCAACAGCCGTGAGGAGCGTCTGAAACGTCCGCCTCCCTTCGTTGGTTCGCCCCTGTGTCGCCGCTGCCGCGAGAGCCTTCTTGATGGCCGACAACATCTCCCGTGCATCCCGCGTTTCTTTTCGCTGCTTCCGGAGCTCATCCACGGCGTCTACTCCTCGTTCCTTAAGAAAATCTTAGAGCTCATCCGGCGTCATGCTTCTCATCGGGGCAATGAAGGTCTCACAGGTTTCCTTCCAGTCCGGGCGTTGCCGCTACGGGTCATAGTATCACGGCACAGAAGACAGGATGGGCGGAGGTACAGTAGCTAGCCCCAGGTTCGAGCTCTAAGCAAATATGAGTAATGAAACATACTCGCTTAGGGTGCGATTACTGCCTCGGTGCAAGGCGCAGTCAGTCAACATCAGCACTGTGGTTTGTACATATTATAGCAGCAACGGGAGTTCGATTGAACTTTCCAGCAGGGAGTGTGGGGACTTTGTGGGTGCAGGTCCGTCACCAGTTGTGCAGTTTAGAGTAAAATAGTTTTTATAGTGAGCGGCTACCAAGGCGGAGCTGTTGTACATCGAGCAAGTTGGCGTTTTCCCATCTTCCATACACACACATACATGGATCGAGCTGCAAGTAAGGCAAATCACTATGCGGGAACCTTCAACCCGTCTAGATCTACCCTCCTTTTGCAAGGGGAATTTCGACGACGAAACAGCCTTGCTTCGCCTGACGGCTTTTCATACCAATAGGATTCGGAGACGGTTTACCTTCGAGCTGGCTCGTTTTCTGTCCGTACGAACTCGTGATGTTTTCAAACGTCATGGACATCATTTTCCACCACGGCCAATAGGTTGGGATCTCGGTAGTAGTGTAGATAGCAACGACCATGATGGCAATGAGGGGGATTCGTTTGGCAGCGATGAAGGAGGAGGAGAGGGAACGGGAGGAGGACAAGAAAGAGACCAAAACAGCAGTCAAGGAGGGAATCATGGAGTGGAAGAGAGCAAGAGCTTCGAGCCAGATGACCTTCCCCACTACAAACGACGCAGGGCCAGAGAAGAAATGTCGAACAGTTGCTGTCAAAATGATGATAAGAACGACGGAAGTGAAAGCAAGGAGGATGATGGCGAAAGCACTCCAAAACGAACTCGAGTGCCATGGTAGACGCGTGCAGTTTCCTTCTGTTGCCACCGTTTCTGTCTTTGATCCGGAGAATAGATTAGTCTCCCCCATGCCGCCCCCTCACGGGGTCCCAGTTAATGTCATTTAGAAGTTGTATGTTTTCAACCGCATTGAGACGCCCCCTGTTCTGGTGTCAGGCTGACTCTTATGGCTCCCGAAAGTTGGCCCGACGGAATTTTTTGGACGGGCATACCCCCACCCCCCTGATTTGCCACGGATTCGACCAAGAGACAGACCTCTCACCACATCACAACAGAGTTCTCCCTCCATGATGTTCGGGTCGTCCGTAGGAGAGTCCATACGATAGTTTGGCCAAACTATCGTATAGAATCCTCGACGGATTCTCCAAACGGATTATTACTTTTGCTCACATGGATTGACATTTCTCAGCACACACAGACCCCACAGCAGTCACCACTAGCTTCAAAGACGCCTACAGGTGTGGTGCGTATAGCCTTCAAGTTCTGGTGACGATCCGACAATCATGGAGGGAGAACTCTGTGGTGATGTGGTGAGAGGTCCGTCTCTTGGTCGAATCCGTGGCAAATCAGGGGGGTGGGGGTATGCCCGTCCAAAAAAATCCGTCGGGCCAACTTTCGGGAGCCATAAGAGTCAGCCTCAGCGGCTGCCCTCGCTGTCGCCTGGCGGTGGCTCTCTGCCGGTCCGCCCGCAGCCTGTGGGTGCGTGTGAGAGAGAGAGAGCTCACAGCAGCTACACCCTCTATTTCGCTGGCCGCTGTATGTTGTCGCTCGCTGTGCCCGCTCTGCCGGCTGTGCGTGTGTCGCTGTGCCCGCAAAGCGTGTGTCGTCTTCTGTGCGTGTGTTCTGCAGGTGCAATAGCTAGATGCAATGCTGCGTGGTCACTTGCGGTCTGCTGACCCCCCATTAAAATGATGTAGTCTAAAACCTAGATAAAGAACAGACACGCAAACTGTTTTCTCTTGTTGGAGCGCTATATTGCGCTGAGACCTCAGGCCAGGATTAGAAATCTCGCTTCGCTCGAATAAAAACACATACTTCGAAGTACATAGCAACAGCAGCCGCAGCAGCAGCGGCAGCAGCAGCACGTGTACATCGTAGCATTTCATATTCACAAAAACACATAAGGTTTACCTCTGGGGCAGCAGCCGACTTGGCAATACTGTTGGCACCAGTAGTGCGAGTCCTCGATCCGTCGTGCGAAGCCTTGATGGCCGCGATGACTGGGCAGGACAAGTCGTTGTCCGCCCCACGACCTCCTCCGGCTTGTGGTACGCCTTTTCTCCGAGCTGTCTCTCGCTTGCCCGCCATGACCACATCAGCTTTTCGGCGGGCCAAGTCGGACAAATCCCCTTCGCTAGGCTCACAGTATGCGGTAGTCGAGGCACCTACACTCTTCTTCTTCCTCTTGTCCACGAAGGGTGGTAATCAGTCTCACACCTCGGGAATGTAGTCCCCACTTTTGTATGACTCGTGCTTGCCCGTACCGGCATAGTCTACATGGTGCGTTTGCAGTGGCCCGACCCCGTAACCAGTGGACCCCTGGCCGCGCAACATACTTCAAGCCAGCTCCCCACCACCAGTTTTGGTTTGGATGGCTTTCTGAGTGGCTCTACCCCCCCTAAATCGACCAAGGGGCAGCGATTTCCGTCGAGTTCAGAGTTGATGGAGCAAAAAAAAACAGCCTCAGGGCTGGGGGGGACATCGGGACATCGGACATCGGGACTGTCGGGAATGCGGAGGAACCAAAAAAGTTCTGGCCGGGATCTCAGCCCGAAGAGGAACTTTTCCTTCTTTGAACTCTGCAATAACGTCGTTCTGGGTTTCTGGGTCGGGGTTGTTGCGATCTAGACCTGCAAACATGTACGAGTCGGGCTCGAAGTCGACATTTTTCTTTCGTTGTTAAAAGGTGGGGAAGGTGGCCGGCTACAGTACATTATCTCGACAAAAAAGGAAAAAATTGAAAAACTTCAAATCTTCTTGTACATTATGCGCATACTTCTGTAGAATACAATACGCGAATCATGTCATGCACGAGCGCACCGGGTGCAAGAAGGTTGACTCCTCGTGTCTCGATGTTTCTCATGAAGGGTCACGAAGAGGGCCAAGCACAACAAAATAAACAGCGTCTTATGGTATAATAGTTGTGTCGCAGAGCCTGAATCATGCGCTAGATTGCAGTAGCAGGAGAGACCAAAGGACAACAATAATCGCCTGTCCCAAATTCCACCATGGTTCCGTACGCGAGTGAGTGCGAAAAAAAAAAAAAATCCTTATTTCGACAAAAACTGCGTGGTCAACCAAGAGCCCGCTCCCTGTCACTCCAATGTCACAAGCAAGCAGCGCATTGTTTGGACGCATGTCTCCGTCGTGCATCGCGCTCAGCGAGCTGAGCGACCCCGACCTGCAGTCCGCCACAGGCCTTCAACGCGGCAAAAAAAGGAGGGAGCAGGAGGTGTCTGCAGAACACACAAAAAATTATACATCTTCGGAGCTCACAGAACAATACAAAGACAGACTTGATAGGCATATTTCAGGGCCCCGCCCGAGCAACTACGCTCTACGAAATAAAAGCCCCCCAACAGGCGGGTGTCCCCCCCAACCCCCGTATCCCGTATCCCGTACGGTGTCAAGCACCAGGAATAACTGACCTCAACGTTTTGTTAAGCTCAAGGCAATGAATGTACCACGGTTTTTCCGCAAAGGATCCCGACCAAACCTCGCTCGCGCAGGACACCACACAATGAATCCCACGTTCTCTTGTGAAAAACGGTTTTCGGGGGTATCGATTTTCTTGCGTCGGTCCGGCCCAACTTTCCTTCTAAAAAGAGCGCGACAAAAGTGCTACCTACACGTCTCCGATGGCACCAAGGTACGGAGAACAACTGCTGCTATGGTTCCTCCCTCTCTGCCCCGAGCACCGTGTGACGTCATAGTTTAGACGGACGACGGAGATGACGAAAATACCTAGATCTTCTTCTGCTTCACCACCCGGAAAAGGATGTTGTCTAGGACGCCGACCACGGTGAAGGTGCCCCCCACGATGGCCAGCACCGATGTCAAGAAGTCGTACCACTTGCGACGCCGCTGCTTGATGTGTACGCTCATGGGGCTCAGGTCGTAGCTGAACTTCGCCTCCGGCACCTGAATCCCCACCCCACCCCACCCCGGCCCAGAATAGAGCATGAAAGAGGTGGGATGCAGTTAGTGTCCGCGTTCAAGAAACATCAATTTGGGGTCGAGGCTCAATTTCTTACTTCGTCACGACCGTCGAGCATAGGTCGCTACGCAGGAAGTAGTGTAGGATTCACGGCTGAAGTGTGTTTCTTAGTCGATTTTTCATAATTACCGCCAAAATGTGAGCCATTGTTTCTTAAAAGGTTTGTTTCTTAATCGCGGGCGCTCACCATATAAAACCATGTCTAATGAGACGGAAATACATGGTATCCGACAATGCGGGATTATGTGGCCGGAAGCGAAAAGCGTGAACTAACACAAAATACCCAAGAGTCGTGTTTTTATAATTGTTAACATCAAACAAAAGTATTCAGAGAGATGTGCATCTCGAGATATTGGGTGCTGTTCGAGAATAACACTACTTCATCGCTAACATAGGGTGTTCTACCACATAGCGTTAGGAGAGAATCAGAGAGGTACGTCTCTCGAGATCATGGTTGTTCTTCCAGAACCACATTAATCCATCTCGACACTTGTCGTGTTCTACTATTGAGCCTCATGAAAAACAACAAAGAAAAAAGGGCACAGCAACAACAGCAACACGATCTTCACGATAAGGGGGGAATCCTGGGCATGCTATAAAGACTGACGGAGATGATATGATTTATTTCGGTGGGGACAAAGCTAGGTACCAGGTACTACTGAACATTGAGCGCAAGCTAGTTCGACACGGAGCGCATAGGATGGTGAACGGACGGACCACCACATGGTCTGCTTTCTCCCCCATCACTCCTGCCACTCCTTTTCGCAAAGAATGAACCCAAACAGCACGGGTTAATCTCGCCCTGCCGTTTCGCCGCGCTTCGTGCAAATAAATCTGTCCCATTTCATTCCAGATTACACTGTCTCCCATCTGTCCCCCAACACCCCCCTCCCCCCCTTTTCCTATCACAGTATTGGCCACCTGGTCCTGTTCGTAGGGCATGGTCTGGCTGGAGACCATCATCTGGTACTGCAGGTTGTCTGTTTTAGCAAGACCCCCCACGAACGTCGACACCACCTGGGACGCAAGCAACAGCAGCCGAAAACAGCGGACGAAACGCATGTGTGCGTTTTTTTCTTAATATTAGCATCAACCGCGAAAACCGGCTGACCGATGAAAAGACGTCCGTGTCAGCGGAAAAAATCAAGGTCCCTGGAAAGGGGGCCGAAATCCGAAAAACAGACGTATGTGTGTGTATGTTTTTCGTCATGTCAATGTCCATGGGTTGATTTGTTAGGGGGGGTTCGATACTCCGGCCCTGACCCCTTGTTGCGAATCTTGCATCACCCAAAGTGGAACTGTTTGGTATTTTGCTGGAGCAGGGGCCGAGTGTGGATGTCGTCGTTCTGTCTTTTTATCACCCTTTCGTGCGCCATGCACATTCAAATTTCGTCTTGTAGCGGAATGCACACTTTGGTTCGGTGTTCAAAGGACACACAGCAGTGAGTATGCAACTGCTTCGTAGGGTGGGGGCCATCTCATCCCGTCAGACCACAGGCGGAACGGGTCTTGGCTGTCCCCTTCGAGCCCTTCTGCTTCCTTGTCTCGGCACCGCTCTTTTTGCGTGGGTCGGCAAAAACAACAAAGACGAGACCAACCGACACATGCGCTTAGCAGCAGCCCGAGAGGACGACTCTAAACAAGCCACCGCCCGACTGACTGACCTTGATGTAGTGGTGTGGAGCGGTGTGGAGGCTGTCGATGGAATAAACCCTGTCCTCGAGGGCGGGAAGGCCTTCCAGTTCCACTCCTGACTCTATCACCCGCCGACCCCTAACGGGGACCTGGGTCCCGAACTTGAGGGTTTTAACCACATGGCTGCAAAGCAATGGAGAGGGGCCGGGGGGCGGGGTAGAATTTTGACGTCGGTCGCTGAATCAATGGGTTCCTTCGCAGCATGACACGGAGTGAGAAGAGGTCTCGGGAAACGAATCGTCCACGGATCTGCCATTTAGGTGAGAGCGTTTTAAAGTCTGAGGCGTCGATAGTGGAGGGTGCATCCCCCCAGGCCCTAAAACAGCGAGCGGCCGCAAGGACCACCGTCGCTAAAACACAACCCGAGGAGACGACGATCCGTGAGGGATGATGACCCCCAGCCTGTTCGAGAACGAAATGACACGCAAAAGCGTTCATGCGAACAGGATCACGTCGTTTACGACCTACGCCCCTCCCCAACCCAAAACAACCCTCGGTGTCACAACTCTTTCTTTGATTCACATACAGAAGTGGTCGCCGCAAAAGGCCGCATGCTGCCAAGGGATTTGGCCGGCCGGCCGTACACCGGGCACCGGGCACCTGGCACCTGGCACTCTTCAAAACATGAGGCACCGTGAATACATCATACGCGACACGCGAACTCACCTGCCCTACACGAGGGGGGACAGGCCTTATTTGAGGCGCACGTTACACGGGGATCATTACTGCTGTTCACACAAGTGCTGTTCGCTAGCCAAGAGCACGGATACGGGGGAGGCGCGACGGAGCGAGACACGACAGCTCACCTGATGTTGGCAGCGGTAGGGTCGATGCTGTGCAGCGCCGACCGGGCCTCGATGTGGAAATTTCCTGGCACGCGGTTCACCATGATGAAGCCGGATAGCTGGCACCCGGGATAGTCCTGCTTGAGTCGGCCATACCTGATACGTAGCCGAGCAGGGTAGTTACAACACGCGCCACAACACGGGCGCGGAGTCGGAAGTGCGTTTGGGTCGGACGGTACGTGCAACATATCTCTCGACGCCAAGAAACGACTACCGAGGCTATGACAAGAGAAAGCGGCCGCCAGACGTCAACATCGGCGAGAGGAAAGCACGGCCAGACACGACGATTACCCAAAATGACGGTTAAAAGGGTACACCCACCTACCCTTTTACCCTTCGAAAAGCGGGAGCCGCGAGGCTAGGCGAGAGTGCCCGGACAGAAAGATGGCAACACAAAGCACCTCGAGGACGTGGGGTGGATTGGAGTTTTGGCCTGGTTGGCGAAGACCAAAATCGACTTCCAACTCTCCCGGGATTCACACGGGTTCGAGGATGGATGCTCTCTTCAGGTTCATCGTTCTATGTGCGGTCTAATCCCGGAGGAGGTGTGCGTATCATCACTGCTGTTTCTCAGCTTCCGACTCAGTGGAGCAATGGGCTACGACTTAGGCGATTATTTGCCCTTCTCTGCTTCTTTAGTCTCTGCGCGTCTCGGGCGTGTTTTCCTTCGCGGGTGTTGAGATGTTTGAGACCCACGCTGCGTCTTCTGTTTGATTCCCTTTATACTTAGTATTGCCTTGAAGAGGTCGGAACAACGCTAAGGCAGCAGCGAACCAGCAACAAACAACAAAAATGACAACGCTATCACCACGACCACCACCACCAATTTGGATAACACACAACGCCCGGAGGAAGAGAACCACGGTGGACTCACCGCAAACAAAAAAAAAAGCAGGAGACAGCACAGTATAGAGTTGATCCACGAAACGCTCATCTGCGGATGGAGCGAACTCCCTTCTAGAGTCAACCAAACCCTTTGCTCGCGAAACGTGCGTGCCCCCGCTCGCACGGCGTAGCAGCAGGCAGTGCGCTTGTACGCCCGTTCACCTCTCACCTTCTCAAGGCCTTCTCATCTCCTCCAACCTTAGCTTGGGCGTACTGCACAAGAGAAGTCACGGAACGATCCTTGGAGTAGTCCGTGCCATCTTGCACACCACCCTAAAAACGAAAAAAAGATATCCAAAAGCAAAAGTAAGCACAAGCGTACAGTAGAGAACAGTTTGTGGTCGGGAAACGACTCGGGGTATGTGTCACCTCCCTCTCAATCTAAAACCTCGTTTTCCTTGAACCTCCACGTGCATCGCATCCTTGGTGCAAAATTGGAGGGGTCAAAGAGGCCCTCCAAGTCATCATCGCGAATTGTAAAAGATCAATCACCGCGTTGGTACCTGTGAACACACCCACTCCATCTCTCAAAATCAGCACGACAAAAAAAAAAAAAACGCGACTACTGTAACACTGTACTTCAGATCCAGACAAATCATAAGCCCAGCAACATCAACGTTCTCCCGGCAAACAGCAGTGCAACGCGCGCGCGGGCGGAGGGGGGGCAGGGCACCAAGCAAGCGCAAGAGAGGACACGGCAGACCCACAAAATACTCAAGACACAACTGCCTGAACAACCAGGCAGAAATGTCAGACGATGTATCGACTTCTTTCAAAGCGGCCAGCGGCCCGGAGATACATCAAGCCTCCCCACAGAAGCAGACCCACCTTGAAGTATCGGATGGTGGGGAAAGCCATGAGGTTTTGCGTAGAGCACAGTTCTCGCTCCTCCACACAGTCCACCTGCTCTCCGCCACGCCACGGGACGAGAGAAGAAAAGCAACAGCCACGCGAACGGACGAAAATGAGCGCCCAAACTAGGCTCGGGAATGCATCTGAACACGCCGAGCAAGGAGAGCAAAATCGAGTCATGCCTAGCGTGAGTGGAAACCGGATGTGACCGTCAAGGGCCATGTTCAAACTCGGCTTTCTCAACGTAACATAGCCGTGTTGGTTTTTTTACCGATCTGCCTCCTTTGCATCACTCCTCTCTCTCGCACACGACGTCGCATTTTCCTTTCCTACTCGCCCACGGCAACAGAGAGCGGTTGAGTCCATGTTTCTTACTTGTCCTTGACGTCCTACAAGCAGCCGATGCGAAATTGAACATACCAATGCACGCCTACAGCAAACAAAGCTATTGCGGTTGAGACATCCCTACAATTCGCTCCAAACGTATCTGAGTGAAAACGAAAGCGTACACCCTCATGCACCATGTCTCTATCTATCCGCCATCGGCCAGGCCGGCGCACTACAGTCTCGCATGGATGAGCCGCCTCTCAACAGGAAACTCCCACACAGCAGCAAAACACCCTACAACCCACATGCTTCAGTCGCAACCAGAAAAAAATGTTGCAACAAAAACACAAACATGCGTCATGCTCTTTGATTTCGTTCTCGAATATTTTCAATTTTTCAGTCTTGGGGGATGCAGTATCACAGCAGTAGCTGTGCCTCGACCGACACTTCGGCCGCTCAAACTTCACCTTTGCCACCATGAGCTTCCCGTTCAACGACGCATCCCTTTCGACCTCCTCCGCAAAGGCCTCCCAAGTTGGCGCCAGCTTGATGCACCACACACACCACGGAGCGAACTGTCGCCGTGCCACAGGAGTCACGAACACGCACATGGATGCGAGCGACATCGTCGACAAGCAACGGGCCACGCGGGCGGTGCAGTTAGAAAAACACATTCGGGGGAGGGAGGGGGGTACAGAGAGAGGAGTCCTCTTCAAGCTCGCTAGTTCGAAAAAAAAAACTCCGTCTTGGACAGCCGGGCAACAGGGGGATAAGTACTGTTGATCGACTGATGGCGTTCTCGATTTCCACGCTGGCTTGCACAAAACTGGGTGAAAAGCGAAGGTCCTTGCCACCGTGAGAAAGCAGCGGAAAGGGCGGAGCCCATTCCAAAATCCATAACTGAAACGTGAACATCAGCAAGACGGGGTAATCAACATGCACCCGCCGTGTATTCATAGTTGTGACACATGCTCCGCCGCCAGCGCCAAAAAGGACCACCGTTCGGAAATGCCTTGACCCGCCTCAACAATCGCCTATTTATTCGCACATTCGCCGCTCTTGTGTACCGTGAAATGCCCCATTGTGGACCGGTTTAGTCGATAACCCCCACACCCACGTTCACCTCGACCTGCTCATCTCACACACGAGATCAAGACATCGCAAGACCCCGTTGACTGCTTTCCATGCCCCGATGACAGACAGCCCACGGCACCCAAAACAGGCCTCACCCGAATATGTGGCCAAATTCTCAACATACCCCCTCTCCAAGTCCCCCCCCTCCCACCTCTACTACAATAAAAGCCCTCGCTAAATGCCCATCTCAACCGCACCCGTCAATCGCACTACACATGTCCCCCCTCCGTCCCCCCCAACCATGAACTTCTCTGGGACATAGAACGATGCACAAAGACGGAGTTACCGCCACGGGTTGGATAAAACAAGAGGCCTTCACGAACAAACGGCCACGTGGCAAGTCGTCAAGCGTTCGTTACGTTCTACAGTACGCGGTGGCTCTCTTAACACGAGCAGCAGAAACGGTGCGCACGTGGTCTGCAGCAACGCGCGAACGCCGGACACTAACCCTAGACGATCAGCACCCGAGATGCCCCCCCCCCCCCGCGAGTAACAACCCTTCTGCATCGCTTCCGTGGAGGACTACTCACAAAGTCCACCATGACGTTGTCGTTGCCCTGGATGAAATCCTTGAAGTTGGAGCTCGTGAGCGGCACCGCGTGCTCTCCGTCCTCGTGCGCCAACTGCAGTGGTGCGTTTCCCATGTTCCGTCCAAGCAAAGAAGAAACAAATAGCGCACAAGTACAAGGCGAACGCAAGGCGGCGGAATAAAAAGAGAGATATGCACGGGAGAGAGATGCAGGCATCGTGAAACGCCCTATGCCAGGAGAACGAAAGCGAGCATCAACAATATCAACAGTAGCAGACGACAATAAAACATGAGTATCAACACCTATATTAACCGAGTACGCGACAACGAGAGCGAGCACCTACAGGACAACCAGCAGCACCCAACAACAATCACAACAGAAACAACCGCGACAACAACGGCAGGTACCACCGCAAACACGACAAAGCAAGCATTACACGGCAAGACAGGAGCCTGCCTGCCTGCCTGCCATACCACCGGTCTTACGTCAAGGTCGCGGTGGTGGTCGTCGTGCTTGACCATCTCCTGCGCCTTATTCCTCCCGTGGAACTCTCGCTTCACGCCGTTCTCGTCTGTGTGCCACTGTTGTTGTTGCCCGCAGTTGTAACGTTTCGCGTGGGCGGCAGGCGCAGTCACCAAAAAAAATACGGCAACGGACAAGCGGCGGCGGCGGCGGCGAAGTCGGGCGCGGGGGTTACAATTTGACAAAGGGCGCGGGGAACGCATGAAACGAGTAGGCTTCCGACGAGAGAAAAAAAGAGAAGCGAGGATATCGCCGACGCGTCCGAGACTACTGCAGTGTTTCGGCACACAATCTGAGCGGACAAGAGTCTGGCCTTCAATACGATTCTAGAGCAAAGTTATGAAGCCGGTGTTGGACGGTGGATCATGTCACACGAAGGGGACGGCCGTCAGGATGTTGTAGCTTGTAGGCGTTACGAAGACCCGGGAGGTGTTGGAAAAACAGAAGTTCAACGCAGCAGGTACTTTGAGTCGCCAATGGGTTCATTTCCTCTCTGATTGCTCACGTTTCGACGGAGCTACGCTATTGCGCCGTAAGGGGCTACAGCGGCCAAGGGCTACAGCGGTCAGTTTCTTCAGATATTGGAAGTTCCGCGAAAGCCTCAGCACGTCTGTTGGGCAGCAAAACAGACGTCGAACAGACTCATCGTTGCTCGGACGGGGCAAGATAGACAGCAGAAATAGCAGCTGCAGCAGCTTCAGTGATGCTACGGCAGGACGGTGTATCTACGCTCCATATATTTTGTATGGGTGGAAGAATGGGTAAGACGTGCGTAACATACGTTTGCCTTACCTCGATTGCGTAGAGCAACGAGGTAGAAACACCGGTCACCCGATCAATAGAGACATCCATTCTCGACTGCGGATGCTCTTTCGGCAGCAAGATACGCAACATTCCCATGATCTGAATGCTGTAGTGCATACCTTGACGATGTTCTGGGTCATGTTGACCTTGTTGGTGCCCAGGAGGTCTAGCACGTCGACGCTAGCGTAGTCGCACGGCAGCGCCAGCATTGTGATGTTAAAGTTGATGCGCAGCTGTGCGAAGCAGGGAGACCGAAGCAAGAGGAACGGGCGGGGGGGATGGCATGTGGATGTGGAAACCCTTTAAAACTTGGACTGGAAATGAGGCGCGCTACTCATCTAACTAAATAGCTATCTTCCTTCCATAGCACAGCATCTGCTGATTGTTGATTATTTAGATTTTCTTCACGAACTTGACTTCGCGCACGTTCCGAGCGACTCGTCTATTATAATCCCCGGAGGCACCAACGAGGTGCCGATGCACACGTGGGAAAAGAGTTACCGGAAACGAGCAGGTACATACCGTACGTGACGCAAGATATCACACCCCCTGGACCGATTTTCGAAGCTCCATTTCTCCATAACACAAAGAGTGGAGGCACCGAAAACGGCGGCGGCTTCGAAACTGTCTCATCGGGAGCTTTCCGAAAACGTATCGTTTCATTCGTGCATCCTCTTTGTCGTGGAGTAACCGAGCTTTGAAAATCGGTCCAGGGGGTGTGGTATCATGTGTCAACCCCGGTGTAATGTCACAGCAGCAGCAGTGGGCCATTTTGTACCTTCGAATCTTGGTTGCTGTCGATGGCGACTGTGGTGTAAACCTCCGGCGTGAGGAACGCTCGCAGCTCGCACAGGAACAAGATGAGCATGCAAAACCTGTGGCGAACATGTCATGCACGGGGCACCGCAGCGCACCACCGGGAGAGATGATGTCGAGCCACAAAAAGAAAACAAAACATTTCACTTCGTACAAGAGTGCGTCTAGACCGGGAAAACGCGACACAAAAGGTCTCCCCCACAGCGAGAAAGACCACAGCAGTGCAGCCAGCCAGATCAAATAGCAATCGCAACCCCTCCCAAGCGCAAGCTTGGCTAGCAGGCTCATCGATACGGTTGGCTAAAAAGTAAGAACGGAGTAATAGACGCGCGTAGAACACGTGGGGAGGATGGGGTACAAGGGCCACATCGCCAGTAGGTTTCCAGAGGCCAAATAGAACAATCTCCACAAAGAGAAAGAACAAACAGGGTGCACGCCATCAACGCCACCGTGCACACAAACGAACAATAGCTCCTAGCTTTTTCTTTGAGGGATAATCCATGGTCAGTGGAGGGCACCAACTCGGCAGCCGTACCCGCAGCAGTCACGCTGCTTAGCGGCCCCCTGTCGCCCACAATCCTGGTTATTGCGGCGAGATACGATGTGATGCGTTGTGCACCCGTCGAACACCCACCAACCAAACAGACGGTATCGCTGCACTGCAAATAAGGGCCACTAATCTTCCAGCCCGTACCGCAGGAAGAGGGATGGATGGGAAAGACTGCGAGAAAACGACAGGGGAAACAGAGAGCTCCACTCACAGCGCACACCCAGACATCACCGCTCCCTGCAGTGTTGTTTCCGTCAAATCCAAAGGGATTTTTCGGTAGAAGTCGAAGGTCTTGATTGTCGGCATGATTGTCGTGTCCTAAAGCCCCAAGGACTTTCCACCGCTCAGCCAACGAAGCCCTACCCTGGGCAAAGCTCCCTGTTTCTCGCCCTCGCACGACAACACAGAAACCCGGTGCCAGTGTTGCTAAATCAAAATAAGCAAATCAGTGTGGGTGCTTGGCTCCGCAGAATCTCTCTGAGGGCCTGTCGAGAATGCGCGGGGGGTGCAGCGTGTGGTGTGTACAGCAGAAATCCCCCACCAGCGGACCGGACAGCAAACCCCAAACAGACAGCGCAAAGCAGATCAGATAGCAAAGAGCGCGCCCTCCAGCAATCCGTAGACAGTCTTTACCACTGGAGGTGGCGTGATACGCCAGGCAAAACGGTCTGTTCGTACTGAGAGCCGACGAAATCTTGGCGCGTCCACCCGTCTTTTTTTTTTTTTACCCTGTGTGCGGCCACGGAGTGTTGCAGTACAGCAGACACAGCAGCACCACCCACCAGCGTAGCTTGTAGCCCACGCAACACACAATGGCAAAGGAAGAGGAATCAGCGGTGGGAGCGAGCCCAACCAAGGAGGAGCGCAAGGCGCTGAAGAAAGCGCGCAAGAAGGCCGCCAAAGCGGCTGCGGAGGCTGCTGCTGCCATTGCTGCTACCCCCGCTACAGCTACTTCTAGCAAGAAGTCGAAGAAGAAACGCAAGGCTGATGAAGCAGCCGGGGGGGGCGCGGCGGCGGCAGAGGGTGGAAACGAGGGCAACAAAGAGGAATCGGCAACCAAGGTGAGCCAAGAGGGTTCAAACAAAATGATCATGATCTTCAACCAGCGTGGTGTAGAAGCTCACGGACCACCCACCGATAAAGCGACCTCGTTTAAATGTTTGCATATGGCGAATTCGGTTCATGATCCTCGCCAACGTAGTTGACATCCTCCGCTCACTCTTCTCGGCGACAACAGCAGCATTGTATCGACAACAGCAGCAGAGTATCGACGACAGCAGTCAACAGTGGCACATCGTTAATCCCGGGCTTATGCGGTTGTTTTTCGTCCAAGGAACCGCCAGTAGCTGTCCCCAATATTTTGGTCTTGTTTGTAATGTTGGAGAAAAGCTCGACCGAGACCACAGCAGTACAGTCAGTGCGACGTACGGTATCGTTTCGGCAACCGGCTTCGTTTTATGTTTTATCCTGTCGGCGCATCATTGCACACCGCCTTACGTAGCTGCAGCGAGGTGTTATACACTGGTGTGGGACAGCGCGGTACCGGTCGACCTGACACGTCCATCAGCGATACCTATTCCGCCGCGTCAACGGGAGACCCCCCGCAACCAATATCTTTCGTTGTTGATGCAACCCGCCGCAGGTGAAAAAGTTGAAGAAGACGGCCACCGCCGCCGACAGCAGTGAACCCGGCAGCGGCAAGAAGAAGAAGAAGAAAAAGAAGAACAAGAGCAAGGACAAGTCGGCTCCCTCGTCCTCTGCCGCAGAAGATTCCGTCGCCAGCGCTAGCGCGGCCGCTGCGGCGGCCGGCGGGGCGGCCACCGGGGCCGGGAGCAAGGTGAAACTTGCTGGCCCTGCTGCTGCTGCTGTCGTAGATATAGCAACTTGGCGGACGGTGTTTTTTAATGTGCCTTACGGTCTGACCATAGGCTTCTCCAGATGAACAGCAACGCTACCGCTCTCAAAGGCCGATGCTGCTTGATGTACGCCAAGATAGTAATTTCCGCAGTAGAACACGACATGTGGAATGCTGTCCCAGTAGACGGTCACAACAACGAATCTTACGCACGCATTGTCACCCTCTTCAAGGTCCACATCGAGGGGATGAAGGTTACGCCGCTGAAAGACTTCGCTTCGTCCGGCATGCCCGCGGAGGTCATGAAGTACGTGACCCTAAGGGGCTGGGACAAGCCGACCCTGATCCAGGCGCACTGCTGGCCGGTGCTAAACGCCGGCAGGGACGTGATCGGCATCGCCGAGACGGGCTCGGGGAAGACGTTGGGCTTCAGCCTTCCCGCGATGTCCAAGATCTTCAAGAATATGAAGGTGAGTGTGTAAGTGTTGTGTAGTGGCGGGGTGTGTGTGTGAGAGGGGGTGGCGCTGCTTTTGGGGAGTGATGCTGATGTTGCGTCGGAGTGTCAAGGCTCGCGCGGTTTTTCGAAACAGACTTGACACTGACAAGCGGTCACACAGTCGGTTTACTACAGTAGGAAATAGATAAATTATTGTTGTTCGCACGCCAATATTATACCAGTGTGTAATTTCTCCTACCCCCCCCTCCCGGACGGTAGACGACGAAGACGACAAGTTCAAATGTGATTGCGGCTTCGAATGCGAAGACCGTGTTCATGTAGTCGCGGAATGTCCGTGGTACGAAGAGGAGCGGGAAGTGTACATGACTGAGCTGGGAAAAATACAAGGGACGTACAGGGAGATGTTTGAGGCATGGAATAGAGAGGAGAGCACGGTAGCTGTACTGGGGCATAGGAAGTGGGTTGAAAAGGCGGGAAGGGATATCGTTAGGATAGACAGACTAGGGAAGACATTTTTGAGCCACCTTTGGCAAAGTAGGAAGGAACGATTGGCCATCGGTGATCGGTCCCGCGGGAACAATGCTCCGTCCTCTCGAGGACGCGTGGTCAATGGTCTAACCGCTAAGGCGTGCAAAACATAAGAGTACGCCACCCCCACACCAACCCCATATCGACCAAAATAACGACACCAAAATAGGCGGGGAAAAAGAGCGAAGGCCCGTACATGCTCGTGCTGGCGCCTACCCGAGAGCTGGCGCTGCAGAGCGCCGAGGTAATCGCGGAGGCCGGGGGACACTGCGGAATCAAGAGCGTCTGCGTGTACGGAGGCGTGCCGAAGCGCGACCAGAAGATCGCTCTCGGGGGCGGGAGGGGGGGGGGGTGCGTCCAGGTGGTGGTGGCCACGCCGGGGCGGCTGAAAGATCTGGTCGGTGAGGGTGCTTGCGACCTGTCGAAGGTAAGCACGCTGTCGTTTTCGGTTAACCTGTGTGATAGCGGTAGCTCTATGTTGGTGTTGTCGCTTGTATTTTTTCGTGCGGTCATGATGATTCCCGGTAGTTCAGTGGGGGGGAAAGTAGGCGCTCTCTTTTTCGGGGAGTGCTCCGGACTTGACCACCAAGTCAGGTGCTGCCTCCTTACGAACCTGACCACCATACTCATGGAAAACGGTAGTGATCTGCCTGCTATTCGTCGATATCTATGCGTCGATTCTCCTAGACGAGGACTTTCGGACAGCCTTCTTTTCCCTGCAACATACACACGACTGCTCCATGGCGAATTCCTTTCTCGCTCTGGACTTCGATTCGGGATAAACGCCTACGATTCTCTTATGATCGTTTGGAGTGCCATGTGTGTGAAACAACGGTATTCAACAACGCAATACAACCACACCAACAACAACAACAACAACCACCACCAACCGCCCACCACCACTACCACCAAGACTTCGATTCGGGATAAACGCCTACGATTCTCTATGATCGTTTGCAGTACCATGGGTGTGAAACAACAGCAGGTCGTGCTATTCTCTCCGGCATTCATCCCCGACTCTCGAGAAAACAAACACAATACAACCACACCACCACCACCACCACTACCACCACCAACAACAACCATCAACCGCGACCACAGGTGACGTCCTTGGTCCTAGACGAGGCAGACCGCATGCTCGACCTGGGTTTCGAGCAGGACGTTCGCGACATCATCGGCTACTGCGCGGGGCCGTCGAAGCGGCAGACGGCCATGTTCTCGGCAACGTGGCCTAAGTCCATCCGCGACCTCGCCGCGGAGTTTCTCGCCGACCCTGTCAAGGTGGGGGTTGGAGTCAACAGGGTTAGAGGCTATCGTTGAGTTGTGCTCACCTCGTCGCGGTACGTAGCGTTCGAGATGGTGTCTCATGTTTGGCTGCTGTTGCCAAGAAGGACGGTTCCATCGTGACCGGCGGATATAGTAGCGTGTATCTTGGAATGCAGTTTGTTGAGCGTGGCAGCGTAGTGCTGAAAGCATGCAGTGGCACTGCCGTTCGCGTTGTATTGTGGTTACACCTGCGACCGCGAGATTGTTCGTGTTTTTCGTGTTAGGTTCCTACGGAAGAGGAGGCTTGACAAGGGTCAGTGTGTTGCAATGTAGATCAATAGCATCAGCAGCAGGAACAGGTTTAGATATGCCGGCATTGTTGTATTCACACCCGTGCCGCCTCTGTCGTTGCTACGATCGTGTCTGCTCTTGTTGACCAGGTGACGGTGGGTGCCGACGACCTGACGGCCAACTACCGTGTGGAGCAGCACGTAGAGGTCGTTGAGGAACGGGAGCGGGACGGGAAGCTCCTCCGGCTGCTCGCCACGTGCCACAAGTCCAGGTGCGACGGTGGTGGTGGTGGCTGGGTGCTGAACCAAGCGGTGAAATCACCGCTGCAACTCCGGCATAGATGTTAGTTGCAAGCCCAAACGCGATGGGATTCAGAACGCTCCACAACTTAAAGATAGAACCTCTTTGTTTTTTTGCCCAAAGCTCGTTTCTTCTTCTCTCGACTACGGTATAGAGGGTTTTGTAGTGTAGGATTCTTGACTGAGCAACTGTTCTTTCGTTATTTTTGTAGATGGAATTTGTCAATTCCCAGGTTCAAGGGGTGGCACGTCCTTCCTTTGCCGCGCATAATGTCTGTGGCACGTGTGCAACCTGTTTCGCGTGCCGACGACAACGTCACCACTCCTGTACGGTAGCAGCGCTTCGGTTTTCCAATCATTTCTTGACGTTTCGTCGCGCTGCAGAATCCAGTGTGCCAAACGCGCTTACCACCTAACGCCCCGCCACACCCCACCCGCTGGTGGCTACGGCTGTCTCAGACGTTCCCTGTTCAGATCGCTGTTGCTGCTGCCCTTGCGGCTGGCCCTGCGAACTTTTCCGTGTTCTAGCGCTGATGCTTGATTTCTGCTGCTGTACTGTTGTTGTTGCTGCTACGCGTCTGCTGCTGACTTCACACAGGAAAAATCGAGTGCTGGTGTTTGCCCTGTACAAGCGCGAGGCGGCGCGACTGGAGCAATTCCTGCAGCGAAATAACTTCGACGCCGTCGCGGTGCACGGGGACAAGGGGCAGGTGCGATTTATGGACGTTTTTACATAATACACAGAAGTGGAACGGAGAGAGGGACTGACGGGGGGAGCAAGCTCGGAGGGTAGGATAATGCATGCGACAACAGTACCTCTCAAGCCATCCCACAAAGGGACGTTTTTTTTCGAGGGGGCGGCGGTCGTTAGGCTGCTTTCACTTGCCTCTCGCCTGCCTCGTTTGCTGCCGGTTCCGTGCCGGGATGGCGTGTGCGACCGATGTTTCGTTGTCTCGAGCCTCCTCCATGGCGATATACTTCCGATCGTCAGGCAAGACAGGAGAACGTATTGTGATGAAGAGATCGGCAAGGTGAAGTCGTACCGTCTTTTTTTCCGTACCTTTTTTCTTGTTTTTTCTCAGGCGGACCGCGAGCGGGCGCTGGGACAGTTCAAGTCTAAGGAGCGACCTCTCATGGTAGCGACGGATGTGGCGGCGAGGGGTCTGGACATCCCGGACGTGGAGTATGTCATCAACTACTCCTTCCCCCTCACAATTGGTGAGTTTTCCCCTGCGTTGGCCGTGCCCCTGTTTGTGTTTCCGTGTTCCCTCATGGTAGCCTACGGTAACGATGTACAAAGCGGAGGCGGCGGTGCTGCCGGGAGCTGCTGCATGCACTTCATCTTCTTCTGGGCGAATGTTGCGGCCCATGTCGGCAGCTCCGGTGTTCCTCTTCCATTCGATGCTTCGGGTGTCGGTGCTGTCGACGGCTCTGGTAGCCCTTGTCTTCGTCCCCGTGTTATTCTTGAGGGTGACCTTTGCTATCGTTAGCTCCTGCGCCCTGCCGGCGTTTGTTCATGCTGTGAACGCCAGCGGCAAGGACGCTTTTTATTTCAGAACTCGGCAAAGTACACGCGTGTCATGCCCCTATCCCCCCCCGCCGCTTTTCCAGAGGACTACATTCACCGGATAGGCAGGACAGGCCGAGCGGGCAAGAAGGGGGTCTCGCACACATACTTCCACCAGGGGGACAAGGCAAGGGCGGGGGAGCTGGTCAACGTCCTCCAGGTGAGAGAAGAAATAGTGGGAAAAACAGGGGAGGGGCAGGTTCCTTCGCAACGCGTGTCGAGGGTTGTTTTCGCTTTGGTTTCGGCCTGATTTAAGGATTTGAGAACAGCGGTAGCACGAAAAAACGCCCCACAAAGATCGGCAGCCTTCGGGCTGACGCGGTGCTGCCTGACTCTGTCGATAAGAAAACCTCAACCGCGCCTGACGGTGGGTGCAGTCGACCTTGGAGTTGTCGTGGCCGAGAGAATTTACGCCGACCTGAAAGTATGCACAAAACAACGAATTAGCTGGTTCGCCAGCTAGATTGCCACAAGAAACTATGGGATACTCCGCATCCAGTGTTTTTTGCGAGAGGAAGAGGAGTAGTCGCCGAGCTCCCACGCCCTAAGTGTCTCGCGTGGCTTCGCCGCGCGTGCGATGATTTTTTGGTAGAACAGAGAGCGGGCAGCATGATTCGGGCGATGTGAGTATCCCGACTTATCTCCCTCTCCCGCAAGAAAAGAGTCAAGTACTCGTCGCGACTCCCTCGCCCCCCCTTGTGGAACGTTGATTGGCGTCATCAGGACGCGAATCAATCTGTACCGGAGGCGTTGACGAAGTTCGGGACGCACGTGAAGAAGAAGGAGCACAAGCTCTATGGGGCTTTCGCCAAGGATGTGGACATGGACCGCAAGGCCACAAAAACCACCTTCGATGATTCCGACGACGAATGAGCAACAGCAGAGATGATAGAGGGCGCCGTTTTGTGGTGTTTCTTTCACGCGCCAACGTCTACCTCTTCCTCTTTCTCTCTACCTCGCACGGCAGAAAAGGCTGCTCGGTTTAGTGAGTAGGTCTTGATCGCTGGACTGATGAGATTGTACTCCCCAGTACAGATTGTTTCGCCACCTGTGATATGGATGCCTCGAATAATGTTCTTGTTTGGCACGTGGGTGCCAGATGTTTCGGTGCCGTTTTAAGCAGACTTGAAGTAGACACGGGCGCGACTGGAAGACGATGGCTGCTTGGCCGTGGTGTACGATGGCATCTACGCTGTGTGTAAGATGTTTCGGTGCTTTTGTGAGCAGCCTTGAAGTAGAGAGATCTATAGAAGCCGAAAGCAAACCCATTAGACTAGTCAGCGCTGACTAGTCTAGTGGTTTGATTTCTATAAAATTTAGTCGTGGGGTTCGAGACGCAGGTGGAAGATGACGGCTGCTCGGCCGTGGTGTAGGATGGAATCTACGCTGTGTGATGTGACTGAACCTTTGGTAGATCGTGTGCTGGTGGGGTCCTCTGGTCTTTTTTCGGAAGAGACAGGTTGCAGAGATTTCGTGTTGTTCCTAGGTGGTTGTTGACTTGCGTACAGCCAACCGACGTCGAAATTGCGAGAGAAGTTGCGTGAGAGGTAGAAGGTGTGATCGTAAGCAGGGGGGGGGGGGGGGATCTCAATAATGCCGATGGAAATCGCGGGGAAAAGGTGGACAGCCGTATTTCCTTGATTCGCTGAGCGGTGCCGGGCGCTCGCTTTATTGCAGGTGAAATGGGCTGGCGGATGGCGGCACCACTGAGCCCCCCGCCACTACTATCGACAGAATCGGCTGTTTCAGTGACATAATCTAGCCGCTTTTCGATCTCAACTTGGGAAGAGGAAGATACACCAGTGCGCAGTGCCGGTTTGTGTCGAGGCTGGTTATTGTTTTACGTTCCTGTCCCCCAAGAAGGAGCGAAATAACGGGTGAGGTTGCCATTTGGCACTTTTGACACGCCTCCCCCTTCCACACCAAACGAAACCCAGCCGTGATGACCCAGACAACACAAAGTATTGGTACATATCACACTTTTTCGTCTGGTAGGATCCAGCGGAGGTCACGTCACCACCTACACGACATAGAATGCACATCATCACACAACTCGGTTAATCCACCGGGCGAAAAAGAAGCCAAGAGGTGAAAAGTTGGTAACGTAAAAGGTGGTCCGTGTTCGTCGACATGCCGCCACGGGGGACAGTATTGTCGACCATGCCGAGACAGGTTTTACAGCAGTGCGAAAACATCCCCCCTGTAGATTCGACGCCGAGTCGATGGCCGTCACCGACTGCAACTGTTGTCATTTTCAACCAGTCAAACACGCCGTCTGGAGAAATAGGCAAGGAAATCCGCTGACGACGCGTGCATTCAGCCCGTCAAAGCCTCCTGTCGCCGAATTCCTTCCATGACTGATGCACGCCGAGGTGTGTCAAAAGCAGAGGTGAATAATACCGCCTCAAGCACAAGCCCTGAGCAGCTACAAATGACTCAGACCAGGCCAACACTGCTGCCGAACTCGCTAATCCCCAACTGCGTCAAGCCAACCCCAACTGACTGACGACTATTAAACGTACCGCCGACACAAGACGACCCCGCAAGGGTCCTGCGAACGGCCCACTACCAACCGTCGACGATTATATGTTTCTTTACTACCGATACCTGCATTTTGGATACCCGCCATGGACGCCAGCTTCCTTCCACACATGTTTGCTCGCACCCCGATCAAGTTGATCAAGTTGGCCATCCATGCGAAATGAACTCTGAAAACCAAATTGCATTTCCTCCTTCTGAGTTCAAATTCGAAAAACATTGTCGGACTTTTACCACACCTGCCTGAAACTTCACTACTATCGCTCGAAAAAAAAAACACTCGCCGATCAGGATACTACACCTTGGACAGACATTACAGGAACCCCACGATACTCCGGAAAACATCTTCCTCGCGTAAACCAAGCACAGCCGCCACCAAGTTGCTCAAGCCAGCAGTAGCAGTAGCATCTCTTTCCCTTGGCGCAATGGTCCCTTCTACTCCCTGCTCGAGCGTCGCCGCAGCGTCGAACCTTGCCCCAGTTGCGGAATCCCGCGCTCGAACGTTCCGTATCGAACTCCTAGTACTTGCTCCCTCGTTCTTGGCTTTCGGCTTTACCCTGTTGGGTCTAGTGCGACCCAAGACTAGCCAGCCGCGACGACGCCATGTTTTATCCTGCGGCGACTTTGATAGCAGGCGTTGAACTTGCGTCGTGTCGTCCGGGAACGTCGCAGGAAAGGAAGAGAAACGTTGTAAAACTTCCCGAGCGGTCTCGCCTTGTGAGTTTACGGCGTTTTCATCTGCACCCCATCTCAACAAAAGGTTCACTGCGTAAGCCACGTTGGCCGCAGACTCCCAATGCCCGATGCGGTTCACTGCATGGTGAAGGGGAGAGCACCGGCTGTTGTCCACCGCTTGAATGTCGGAGCCGCTTCTCAGGAGGGCGTGTATAGCTGAGCAATCCAGTTTCGAACAAGCAACATGAAGAGGTGTCCGACCATCCTCATCTTGAGCTTCAACCATAACGCCTCCGTCGATGAGACAATTGATCGAGTGCACATGGCCACCGTCCGCGGCTACGTGCAACGGAGTCTGGCCACGCATGGCGTGTATCTCCGTGTCCGCCGCGTTCCGAAGTAGTTCCTCCAGGACGGCGGAGTGCTGATGCTCCGTGGATACATGCAGTGCCGTGCACCCAGTCAAGTTGCTGACGGCGTTTACCTCCGCACCAGCGGCGAGGAGTGCTTCAACTACTGGAAGGGAGTCAGCATGCGCTGCGTACGCAAGTAGTGGATAACCGCTGGTCTGCACATTTGCGTTGGCCCCATGTTTCAACAGGGCAACTATAGTGACATGCGCATCTTTTCTCGGACGCCTGCCGAAATCGTCGAAGGCCACGATCAGAGGCGTCCTGGACGCATTGTCCAGCGCTTCCAAACTCGCCCCAGCCTTGATAAGCACGTCAACAACACCAGCATGGTTCTCCGACGCCGCCTGGTGCAAAGCAGTCGACCCCTCACTGTCCGTCGCGCCCAAACCCGCTCCGTGACGATTCAAAACTTCCGTCACGTCGGCGTGCCCGTTCAACGCGGCTATCGACAGAGGTGACGAGCCATCTTTGTCAGCCGGGAGGTCGACATTTGCGCCAGCAGCCAGCAGGGCTTGTGTCGCAGCAACGCTACCGCGCGCCGCTGCCACGTGAAGGCGCGCTTCGCCATCACCGGAAAGCGAATTCTCGTTAGCCCCGCCCTCCAAGAGTGTGATGATAATCTCGCAGGAGTTTCCGTCGGCCGCTAAGTGGAGGGGAGTGCAACCGCTGGTGTCCATCGTGCAGATGCTAGCCCCATGCTTCAGGAGAGAGCGGGCGGCCTCGGAGCACTCGTCGATGGACGCTATGTGGAGGGGCGTAAAGCCGCTCTCTGGAGAAAGGGCATCCACTTCAGCCCCTGCTGCCACAAGCGCATCGATCACATCTGCCTCGTTTTCGGAGGCAGTCTTGTGCAAGGTAGTCAACCCATCTGCGTCTCTGGCATTCAACCTGGCACCTCGCCGGATTAGCCGTTGAACGATGTCGACATGATCCTTCTTAGCGGCCAAGTCTAGCGGCGTATCTCCGCTGTCGTACTTGTTTGTGCGGAGATGAAGCCTCGCGCCAGCATCCAGAAGGGCATTGACAACAGAAGTGTGTCCTCTTTTGGCCGTAGTATGGAGGGCAGTGCGGCGATAACTGGCCAGCTCGTCCACGTCCGCACCATTGCTCAGCAGGGCCAACGCAGCCTCTAGTGAACCGCTTGCACTTGCCACGTAGAGCGGTGTCTTACCCTTTCCACACACCCCCGAGCGTTGACGTGCGCTCCTGCTTCGATAAGCGCATCGATCGCGCCTGCCTGATTGCTCTCAGCGGCCGCGTGTAGCGCAGTGAGGCCTTCAGAGTCGCGAGCATTAACGTCCACCCCGTGCCGCACCATTGCTCGCACTACATCCACATCCCCATTAATGGCAGCCGTTTCCAGCGCTGATTCGTCGTTATCACCAGAGTGGAGGCTCAAGTCCGCTCCGGCAGCCAATAGCACTTCCACCGCAGGAAAAAAGCCTACGATTGCTGCGAGGTGCAAGGGGGTCCGACGCTGGATATCCAGCGCATCCACGACAGCCCCTTGTTGAAGAATCAGGGGCACCATATCGTCACAGCCCAAGCCGGCGGCAAGGTGCAGAGGGGTTTGGCCCATGTCGTTACTCTGTGTCAAGTTGGTTCTCGCGCAAGCCCTTGTTGATCACTCCCCATTGCCAGTAGAAAAGCATTCCCGCTCGCCCCTGATATGTGCAGCTTCATCACGAGGTCAAGGTTCCCCGCAGCCGCGGCATACTTCAACGGAGTAAGAAGCCATTCTGCCCATTCCTCTGCAGCTGTCTCGGCGCAAACGAGGTCGAAGATGGTGTCCTCTGCCCCATTCAGGGTGGTCCTCCTGCCCTGCCCGGGCTGTACGCATGCATGGTTCTTGGCTGGTCATGACCTGCGACATATAGCATACAGAAGTGGAGCACCGATTCTGAGACCGGTTAAGAACTTCGCACTTACCAGGATAGCGGCCATGTTATAGCCCACACGAGGAGAGACCTACAGTAAGAGCCCCAGCCTCGGCCAAACAAAACGTATCCGCTCTATCTATCTGTGGCTGTACAATACTTGCTGTGCTGCTGTAAAATCTACATCCCCAGCCCACCTACCAACAATACTAGACAAGCAAGCTCCGGTTCACACAATAGCTGCTAGACTCGAAGACGGGTTTTAAGGGCTTGGCAATCTTACCGGCCAAGCCAAGCTTGTCTGTTGTGCGTGGAACGGCGCGTTGTTTGTGGTGGTTGCTTGTCTGTTGTCTTGTGCGGTTTGATGCAGAGCGGGGGGGCTCCGTGGGTAGATCTCGTCGTTGTTCTGGGTACCGGGTACACTTTGTTCAAAAATGAGAAGAAAACAAAAAAATCAACGGGCGGTTCCGACGTTCCCACCCAACTGCGCTGCTGTGCGATTGGCAACACACACCATGCGACCACTTTACGGCAACACCCCCGCCAAGAGGGTTCGATTGGTAGGGCTCTATTAGCCTGCCTGCCTTCGCTGATGTCCACTGGAGCCTCAGCCCTCCCTACGAAACAACTTGCCACCAGCATCATCACTCTCTCTGCAACGAACGGCGGCTGGCTCCCATCTCCTCTTCTTGTTTACACTTGGCCACGGACGGACGCGGCCCCGACAGAGCGCGTGGACGGTTCGTGGAGGTCACAGGAACGATAGCAGTACCACGACCAGCAGCAGCAGCAGCAATAGTAGTGTGGGGCAAGATTTTGGTATCCGCCACGCGGAGAAACAGGCAGCAACACATCGACATGTTTTGGAAGAAGAGCGGACATCATGTGACACGGGCTCACACGCCGCAGAAACTCATGCTCGTCGTGGAGAGAGGCTTTTGCCGCAAATCTCAGCAATCCCCGTGCTGAGACTCAAACACGTGATGCATTTATTTACAAGGTTTGTTCAACGCACACCTTCCTGCTGTGTCCTCTACATGTATGTATGTACTCCATATCACGTCCATACGACAGAGTGAATCAAACGCGTTTCTATCGACTCTTGCCACTTGAGAAACCCCTAAGTTTGGCCACATTGGTGGCGATTTTGAGTGAAACCAAACAGTTCATTTGTTGAGTGGCGGGGGCCCTTGGCTTGGAAGAATCTTCATTTTTCTCAAGTGTCTCCTCCTTAAAGCTGATTTTTTCCATGAACTTCATCATGGACGGCAACCATACATACGGCGAGACAATGACATGCACGCCGCGTGGACCACACGCATGAAGCATCAGCCATGAACCGTTCAAGGCGAGGCGATCGTATCTACCTCTCTCTCCGTCTTGACAACGCACGCACACAGCCAAAAGCAGAGTATCATCATGCCAAAGTGTGCGATGGGCAGGTACCCCTCGCTAACACCGTGGAGAGGTGGCAGCTGTGATTGTAGATTTCCCGATTTTCGAAGGCGCTTGCTGAGAATACCACGTCTTCGATATTCTTGATTCAACCAGACAAAGCAACACCCACCACTCTTCTTCTCCCGGAAAGCCAAATTCGGGTGTAGTCGGCCCCAAACGCTGGTGTTTCAAGATGACACCGAGAGAAAGCTGAAATCCATCGTCGTCGCTGATCGCAGCAGCAGAGTTCCGGACGGTACGTCCTGTCGTTGGGTCGCCGTTTGCAGCAATAATAGTCGCCGACACTGTCGCCACCAACACGAAACGCCTCCAAGAGTTTTGTCAGTACAGACAGAACCCGTGGATTTCGTACACACTCGTGTCTGCCGTTTGGACCATCTATCGGCGACTGTTGTGTGTGTCTTGACCTCTATCGTTTATCAAATGTTTTGACTCTCGATGACCACTTGTGTTCTTTCTGTTGCTCCAATGATTGGACTGCCCACCGCCGCCTAGCCATCGCGCGGCTTCATCTTCAGCCGGGGGGAGCTCACTCGACTATCCCTCTTCCATCTTTTCGTCATTGTCGATCGCAGAAGTCTTGGATGGTTGCCCTCATGGCGGCTTCGTCGAATTCCCCCGTCATGACGCACCCCCCGAGGTCCCCCTTGAGGAGTATCAGCCGCAGCTCCCCGTCGGCTACCTTCTTGTCCACGGCCATTGCCTGGGTTATTAACGATACCATAGTTGACCACGAAAGATACGGGAAAATCGAAAAAAGGCAACGGGCGTCCTGTTTCGAAAAATCAGAAAAATTGAGAAAATTAAAAAATCTGACAAGTTTCAATTTTGAGAAAGAATGGAAGGAGCTACATAGGATTGCGTTGTTTCTTTCAAGTACAACACCCAAATCAGGACAGTACGCATTATCTGTGTGAACAGGAATCAACGGTAAAATATGGCTCCGGATTCGGTTGCTTCGTGTTTCAACAACCCCGTTGCGGAAGCGTGACTTGCAAAAAGGCTGCACTTGCCGGCCCAGGAGACAAAATCGTGGATGTGCAAACTACTTCGCCTGAAGCGTGTGAGTCCGTGGATGAAACTTGACAACGCCAACTTGCGCTTGATTCTCGAAGGAAAACCGTGTGGGCGATGCACGACTTGGGATTGCACTGACCGTGAGCACGGAATGTGGCGAAGCCTTGCCACCTACACGACACCCCAATGTCCACGCTCACATTCAAGAATTTATCCATGTCCATCCCGCCCCCCTTGGGCAGCTCCACCGGTAATCCCGCCTTCTGCATGAGCGCCACGCTCCTGTCCACGAGCTCCTGGTCCACCCAACCCATGCGGCAAGACATGTCGGCCGCCATATGCATGCCGATTGCCACCGCTTCTCCATGGAGGAGCTTGCCGTACCCCAGCCCAGTCTGCTTCAGGTTTTCGGTCAAGGAAGAAAAAACGGCGATCCGTTCAAGTTGTTTTCCTTTCAGACCGCCGTGGAAGATACAACTGGGTCGCCACCCAACGCAATGGGGCAGGGATGTACATACCCAAACAGGAATGTAAACCACGACGGGCGGCAGCAGCTGATACCGTGGTCTGGACGGGGTATCGGGGGCTATCATATAGTGAAGCAGCATCACGCGAATGGCCTTACCCCCGAACCCGGTCTGTGTTTTTTTTTTCCCCTTGGGGGCGCAAAACCTTTTCGTACTATAACTTTAGCACATACTGGGAGAGAACAAAACATCGGGAGCAGGTACAACATTGTCGCGAAGATGGGGGGTACGTTACGCACAACCCTGCGCTGGTCAAACGAACAAGGCGAGCATACACCCCCAAAAGAAGAGGAGAGGCATCACGCGTGCGATGAGATGGGACACTAACTCCATGCTAGACGAACACCTGACACCATGGGAGGGCGCCAAGCAGAATGCTTCTCCAGATACACACTCGGGGATAGAGCACTAACAGTCTAAGGCCAACGTGGGAATCAAAACAAGATCATTTTCCAACACGATTCAGCGGAGTCCGACCGCGGCGGTCGAGCTATGCATACACACCTCGATCGCGTGGCCGAATGTGTGTCCCAGGTTTAGTGTCGCTCGCAAGCCTGCCTCCTTTTCGTCTGCCGCCACCACCTGAAGGAGACGATGCGAAAAAAAGAAGAAAAGGCAGGGGGCGTGGAAAACGGGGAAGGGGGGGGAGGCGCTGTGTTAATCGCTACCACGCATAATCGTGGCATTGATGCAAACTACAGACCCGAACCCCAAAGCACGCTTAATGATTGACAGCCGAGAAGCCTGGCTAGCGGGGGGCAAGCCAACTTTTCGTCGGGTGAGCATAACCTTACGGGGGGTGCGGGGCGCGGGGCGATACATCGCCTGCAAGCGTGACCACGACGGCACACACAACAGGAGAAGCTGCGGTGGCACGAGGGGTCAAGGGGGTGAGTGGGGGGAGTATTAGTCGGGTGCTTGCCTTGGTCCTACTGTTGACAATTGACTACGCATTCCTCGCCGACAACGGGGGTGTTCTCGATGGTTCTGCCATGTGAACACGATAGCTTCCAGCCTAACTCGGCTCCTTTGTCCATGGCATCCAAGAAGGGCGGGCGCCCGGGCGCGGGGAGCGGGGGTTCGCTTCTTCTTTACAGCGTCAGGAGAGCAGCAGCGGGGGCAGAGGAGCACGGAGAAGCGGGCATGCGCGGCCTACTTCATTTTTCGCTAGGCCGAGAAAACAACAAGATAAAAAAACACATATTCGTACGTTGGCCTTGTTGATGCAGGACCTCTCCACCGCCTCGGCAAGCACACCCGCGTCGCGAGCCGCCATGTTCTCCATGCACCCCTCTTGCCACCGGAAGAACTCACTGTCCTTGATCAGGCCGTACTTGACCACCTCAGCGATACCGGACGCCTGGAAAATCGAGGGGTGCCGGCAGCAGCAATCAGCGCACCACACCAGCGGCGACAGAGTTTGATTGGCCGGTGGGGCCCCGCGAAATGAACACATACGTACCCGATCGCCACCTTCGGGGGTTAAGTAAGGCACCCAGCGTCGCGAGAACCAAGCATCCCCGATCCAGCCTGTGGTGTTCCATGAGCAACACGGGCCTTTACCCTAACCACGACGATAGCAACAGCAAAGAGTGCCAAAAACATGCCCCGTCGACACTTTCATCCCCTCCTGTAGAAATCAAATTCCCGTCAGACAGGCTTTTTAGGGGGTCTTCGTGCCAACATCGGCAGGTACCACACACACAACCCCCATCTATCCCTCCTAGTCACAGCCCTCCTCCTTCCGCCCTCCCCCCTCCCCCCCCCCCCCGACGCACGAGAGCATGCTCCCCTGCTGCTCATCTCGAGGTGGCGAGTCTCACCAACTCTCTGTCAGGGAGGCTCTTGAGGGTGCCCATGTCGGCCAGCACCGCCTGCGGCTGGTAGAAAGCGCCGATCATGTTCTTGCCTAGAGGGTGGTTAACCGCGGTCTTGCCGCCGACCGCCGAGTCCACCATAGCCATCAGGGTCGTGGGAACCTGCCCAAAGCAACGACGAGAAGGACGATGGTGTCGTGAATGCCTTCAGTTGTCGCCGCCTTAAGGATACCGCAATTTCAAGGAGCATGGGGTCACCGCAGAATGAAAGAACAACAGGGGGGTAACATTTTACGGGCACCTCCTCGCTGTAAGGACACCATTATGTTTAAAGAAAAACCGTGAGTGTCTTTGAAGCGGAGACGATTGTAGTACGTTGCCGAGAGGTAGGCGTCTCGTGCATCGTGGGCATCCACGAAACTACCGCAGACCGATCGACAGTGGGAAAAGACTAGTACATCTTGCAACAACACACGGCCTGCACAGTGCCATGCGCGAGAGAGGGACCCACGCGCTTCTCGAGGCCGTGCAGCTCGCAATGCGAGAAGAATCCCGATGGGCTCAAAAGACGTCCCACAGACACCAAGACACCACAACAACATTCCTAAGGCTTCGCTTGAGCAACAATCATGGGAGAGTCACCTGTCAAATCCAATCTACCATTCCTCCTAGGTTCGCGGAAAACCCTCGAAGACCACACGGGACTTGACTAGCAATCGATCAGGCAAAGCCCCTCTCACTTCTCTTCCCTCCACGGAAGACTTTCAACACACCCACCCCAAAAACCCTTAACAACGTACCCCGTACAATATTACAATTTTCGCATGTTCTATCCGCCTGACCTACCCCGATTCCGTGTCCTGCGCGAAACACACCGACGGTCAAACTACATTTGGGCAAGAACGGATAGAGTACCCCCCCCCTCGCCCGCCGTAAGACGGTGCAACAGCCGGAAAGGGAAAACAACACCACACCTGCACGAACTTGACCCCCCTCTGGTAGATCGCGGCCGCGAACCCCACCATGTCCCCGATCACGCCCCCGCCCAGGGCCACGAAGGTCGTCTTTCGGTCGAGCCGCGCCGACAGGGCCTTGTCCAGGATCTTGGTGAGGACTTCCAGGCTCTTGAACTCCTCTCCGTCCGGTAGGACGACGGTTTCAACTTCCACGCCGCCGGCCTCGAGAATCTTGTCGTTTTTCGCCGTTGGGTGGGGACGGCGGGAGCGGGCGCAGAATACAGCGAGACGGGGGGGGGCATGGCATTCCTGTCTATTGGCTGTATCCGTGTGCCCCGAATTTGACAGCTATACAGGGGTCGGGTGGGGGTGGGGGGGTGTACTCTTATGTTTTGTATGCCTTAGCGGTTAGACAATTGACCACGCGTCCTCGAGAGGACGGAGCATTGTTCCCACAGTACCGATCACCGATGGCCAATCGTTCCTTCCTACTTTGCCAAAGGTGGCTCAAAATGTCGTCCCTAGTCTATCTATCCTATCGACACCGTTTCCTGCCTTTTCAACCCACTTCCTATGCCCCAGTACGGCTATCGTCTTTTCCTCGCTATTCCATGCCTCAAACATCTCCATGTCTTTCCTTCTATTCTTCCCAGCTCAGTCATGTCCACCCCCCTCTTCTTGTACAACGAACACTCCGCAACTACATGAACCCGGTCTTCGCACTCGGGTGGGGGTGTGCAAAAAGGGGGGTATCTGTTGCCCGCAAAGCGTGGTTTCAACTCGAGCGGGCAAGCAGCCTGAGAAAGGATGACCAGAACTTGCTCCTAATCAGGACGAACGCGAACTAGACGGTGCGAGGGAGGCCAGCCTACAGCAGCTAGTGTCGTCAGAACCTCGACCTGTGACTTCAGCACCGACAAGCCGCACCTTGACAGTTTTGTCCAGGTAGAGGGGGCCAACCTTGTCGTTGGTGATAACCAGAGCCTTCTTGGACGTCACATGGCGGCGCAATAGATCTCCACTGAGTCAGTTGGAGTTACGGGTCGTGTGCGAGCCGGGGGCGGGGGGTGAGAGGGGAGAAGACGCACGGTGTGTCTTGTCGGGTGAGAAGGCGGCAAGGTGTGGAAGACCTAAGGCCGTCTCTGTTTTGGAAGTAAGCGATTAAGATTTTTTGTCAAACAACGTTGGAAGACGGATCATTTCAGGCGTGTGCTCCGCACAGAACTTGACTGGATTTTCCCAGTACCAGCGAAGTTTCCCCGTAAAACACGACACGACTCCAAAGCACCAAAAGGCTGCTGCTTCCCCATACCTTACACATAACGTCGGCCGCTGTGGAAAGGCCGCTACTAGATAAGCGCAGGCCTCTGGGCATGTTCGGCTTGTGCTTGGGCAAGGCGCTGTGCGTCATTCTTGGTTACACACTGGACATGGGTTTGTACACTGGGAGCTGGCTGCTGTTGTCACAGGGCCCGGCGCCACAGCTGAAGAGCCTCTTTGTCTTGCCCGAGAGGCTCGGTTCTTTGTTTCCTCTGTAGGGTAGGTAACCCAAAATCGACTCTATAGGCTATAGTGTAGGGTTCTTAAGTGAGCACCTGCTCTTCTATGGTCAAGATGTTCCAAGTATTTGTGTAGTAATGTGGAGTGGTTCATGACGCGTTCTGCACGCCTGATGCCTGATGCGCCCGCAGTAAGGACCATCAACCACGCAGAGACTCTTCGCGGCGTGCCGGCTGCCCTTGTAGGTCGGTCGCCGCACACAATGCAGAGTCTGTGGCCGACACCTGAACTTCGTCGACCAACCGCGTTCACACCGACGGTTGTTGTGACCTGTATGCATACAACTAATAAAGGCAGACTACATAGACTAAATGTCGTACTATGCACGGCGCTGGAATAGGCGGGATGAGCTCTCAACACGGGTGGCCGTGATGTGACAGGATACATGCAGCCTCTGTTCAAAGATTCGTGGGGGAGAAGTACGCTCGCGTGTCCGTACCTACAACAAGTCAGGACGTGACTTCGCTCGCGTAGAGTAGATACGGAACAACGAAATCTGTTACCGCGAATCAGTACCATGGCACGACTTGCTGTCGAGCTTGAACACCCGTGGGTACATGTGTACATGTCCACCCTGTGCCCTGCTGTGAGTGCGCTAACTTTCGAGTGAGTTCAACCCAGGAGACGCACCTGTCCAAGATGCCCTCCCCGATGTAGATCGGGTACGAGCGGTCTTCGAGATCAACCGTCACGGTCTTCAGCAGCCCAGCGGCAGGCTCCGTGGCAACCATGTTGGTGCCTGTTAGAGCTCTCCGAGCTGCTGCTGTTGTATGTCGTCCAGCTGCTGCTCCTGCTGTGCGAGGTTGCACCCGACCGCCGGAGGTGCTGGGAACAAAGGAGAACCCTGACGTAAAGCAGCACGAAATGGCGAGCCCAAAGGACAGGGCCGCGAAGCCGGGGATGGTATTCGTGTCAGTCGCCCTCGGTCGCCCCATGTTCACTTCTCTGGGGGTTGTTGTTGATGGTGGTGGTGCAGCAGTACACAGCAGTCGACACGAGCCGGCGGCGCAATTAGGGTCTCCGCGGCTGGGGATGACTACAATATCCCCCCCATTCTTTGTCATTTACCAGTGATTTTTTTTTCAGGATATGTATTTTGGTCCTTGGCCTCTCGGCTCATTCGTTGTCCCCGCTTGCTGCAGCGCCGAAGCCTAGCGAAACAGAAGTTGTATTTTTATGCTGTCGTGACCCGTGTAGAACCATGGTCAGAACGGGCGAGATGGTTGGGATGGAGGTCTCAGATTTGTTAGAGTTTTCGAGAAATGAAAAAACAACGCACGCCATGAAAATTGAGTCAAATGAGATCAGAAACAACTAACTGCTTTGTTGTCTGCTTGCAACATGTGTTGTGCTGTGTATTATATATTATTTACAGCAGCATCGACCGCGCTAACCGGCTGACCAATGAAAAGACGTCAGTCTCAGTGCGGTTATGTGTATGCATGTATGAATACCTGTCGTATTGTATGTGTACTGTGTTTACCACCCAGAAATAGTGTGCGTACAACAAGAAGAAGTGTGTCGCGATTCACGCTTATTACCCCGCGGGTGGGTGGGTATGTATGAAACCTTAACCGTACAGGTTGTGCGGCTGATGCAATTGGTGTCAATTTTCACTCTTCCTCTGTGCGGAGTAGACTACCACCCCGTGTTCCATACTTACTTAAGGAATTAAAGAATATTAAATACACACACAGAAAGACTACCCATTCGAGATATACCCACAGTCGAACGCGATGTGGTGGAGTCTTTTCAGTGAGTGGAGGAAAAAAAACCGGCTGCGTACTGGACTTATTTCGAGTCTTTTTAAATCTATACACTGATGATTTATGTCATCAGTGATGCCAGCTGGTGCTAAGTACAAAACATCTGTATACTTAAGGAATGAAATTGTCCGTATCAGTGATCAGTGATGCCAGCTGGTGCTAAGTACAAAAACATCTGTATACTTGAGGAATGAAATTGTACGTACAAACAAGTGCAATATTCTCGTGTACATTCCACAAAAAAAAAAATACTCCAAACGCTCCAGAATAATATCGTGTTCATAAAAGACATGTCGCACACTTTCACCAGGAGAAGCATCAAGCTGCCTTGGCGCTATTTGTTCGCCTCGGGGGAGAGGAACCTACCTGCAAAGGTATGTATGTTCCTCAAGCAAGCGCGCAACATCAAACGATATCGATCATCCGCAGATACTAACTAGATGGATGGGTCACCGCACAGCAATATACACGAACGCCTACCTCACAGTTGAGTCTCGGACACAAAAAATTAACCCAACGGTAACGCACACAAAAGCACTTACCTGTCGGTGGACCAAGAGATAAGTTCTTGTGGATGATTTTATTTCCCGCGTCCCGCAAATAAAAAGTGTGCGACATCGAGGACCAAGTAAAACTAAGCGGCTACATGCCGCAGGTAGTTGTTGTGCGGGCAAGGTCGTGCCGGGAGAGAAACATGAAAATTTTCCGTGCGTTTGTGAACCACCTCTATTACCTGCAAGAAATAAGAAAGGGTGCACTGTATCTATCTGTAGCCACGTCTACACCAGGAAATGAAGAACCACATGGTGATCAATAGTGACAAATCTCTCGTTTCCAAAGAAGCGACCAAGAAGAAGCGAAAGTCGCGGTCCCTCCGCTCTTCACTCAACACCACAAAAAAAAAAAAGCGAGAGAAACGTAATAATTGAGGGTTTTCAACACGGAGTATGGCCACACGCAAAAAAACGCAAAGTGAAGCGCTGGGCAACCCCACACCAGCCCTCCAGTCGCTCCGATCCTCTACACTCCCCTGCCCCTCCGGCCTCCGAATGAAAAACAAAGTTTGCCGGAAGCTGACAGAGATCTACGCCCAAAACAAAAGGCTGAGTAATTGTTGGCGGCCACGGACCAATAGAAAACGACATGTACGCGCGCATGGAGCTCTTCTGCTGCACAGAACAGATCAACGTGATGCATGCTTCTCCCTTTACCAGCCGTTCCCAATTCGAACAACCCCCAACCTTGCATCTAGAGTACAGCAATTAACGCCCGTCAACAACCAACAGCTAGACTTAACACCCAACATATTTCGTCGGCCAAGGGACACCTCGCCAGGCCACTTCCAAACACTACATGAAAAATCCCAGGGATAAAAAAAAAAGAAAGGGCTTGCGATATTGAGAAACCTCCCGATAATGTGCTGAAGATGATGGAAAGCTGCCACGTCCGGGCCCGCACACCAAAACAAAAGAAGGAGCAGGAAGCAGGGAGAGGGAGCACGCACTGAAAACACTCAAACCACATCAACAGTAGCGTTTCGACCAATCCATTTCAACGACTCGCACTTCCCCTATCACTAATAACGGCTTTGGGCGCCAACACACCTCGCCGAGGACGACGTGCTTAAGTTGAAGACCCCCCCCCCCCCCCCCCGGGGGAAAATCCCTTTTTCCCCCTGGCTTTTTACGGGTAAAACCCCCCTCCCCCGAAGGGCATTTTTTAAAAAGGAATGAATAAAGATGGGTAATTGTTTTTTTTTAATTTGGGGTAAGGGGGGAAAAAAAAGTTTTTTTTTAAATAATGTTTTTTTTAGGAAAGGGGGAAGGAATAAAAGGTAAAAGGGGGGGAGGTTTAAAGAATTTTGAAAATGTTTAAAGGGTTAAATTTGGGGAAAAAAGGGATTTGGTGTATTTAATTTTTATGTTAAGGGGTTTTGGGGAAAGGTTTTTTTTTT